GCCAAATTCTGAATGGCAAAAGCGATTAGGCAATCAGCACTGTTTTAATTGGTATGGCCAGACTGGAAAGTCAGTGGAGCATAAGCTTTCTGTAATCTGCTGTAATTTATTTCAGCCTGGATGGTGTGGATTGGAAGCTCTTGTGTGTTGTTTTGGGGCTTGTTCTCACTCTTGCTTCAGACACCTGGTTCTGCTGGCACCATCCCGTTGGAGCCAGGGAGGACACACCTGGAGCACATCAGCTCCTGCTTTAGAGTCATCATCATTTAGGGAATGATGGTGCACCTTCTGCACAGAACCCGAGGGGGGAATTACCTGCTGTTGCAGCCTTTATTCAGCAGAGAAGCAGCACAGACTTTTTTTCTTCTGGCCTAAACCAAGAAACTGATGCATTAGAGTTAAGAAGAACACGTTACCTTTGCTGTTTGTCCTGTGGTGGGTCACTACAACTGCAGTTTGGGTTGTCTTTTTCGAGTCTCATGTAGGTTTAAAAAAAGCAGATTTAAAAAGAATCTTCATTTTATCTATGCTTTCTACGAGGAAAGTGGTTTCTTGCCAGCAGCTCTAGGAGAGCCACATACATCTTACCCGAGCGGTGCTGGTGCATTAATTAATGGACACGTGCTGATGTGTCTGGGGGCAGCAGCAGCCCAAGGCACAGCTCACTGCACAGCCCAGGGGGGAGAAATCTGCAGATCTTTGAAACTGAAGGTCTCCAGGCAAATCACTCGGGTTTTCTTCACTGAAAATGACGGTGTTTTCTTTCTATTTGGCTTCTTGAGCTGCAAAGATAGTTTTGTTTTCTCCTCTGGCAGGTGAGTGTGATGTGGTGAGTGGGAAGAAATTGCAGTCATTGGGCATCTTTAACTGAACCATAGAATAGTTTGAGTGGGAAAGGACCTTAAAGCCCCCCCAGTTCCAACCCCCTGCCCTGGGCAGGGACACCTCCCACCACACCAGGTTGCTCCAAGCCCCCTCCAACCTGCCCTTGAACCCCTCCAGGGATGGGGCAGCCACAGCTTCTCTGGGCGACCTGGGCCAGGCTCTCACCACCCTCACAGCAAAGAATTTCTTCCCCACAGCTCAGCTCCATCTCCTCTTTTTCAGTTTAAAACTGTTCCCCCTCCTCTCCTCACTCCACTCTCCGATCAAGAGTCCCTCCCCATCCCCAAAGCAGGATATTCTTGCTGCTTTTCCTTGGGATTTAAGATGAATGAAGCAGCACTTTGTGCTGCTGTTTGGTTTTTTGTGTCCTGTTTACTAGTTTCTGCTTGTTGGGTGTGATGGAGTGAGAAGGCAGCAAAAAGGCGGTCTTTAGCGGTTGCTTTTAGACAAAGTCACCTGTTTTCACTGAAGGATTGTTGGTCTCTTTTTTCCCCCTTCCCTGGTGTTTTATTGTGAGATGGTTTCCTGGGGGTTGGTGTAGGTGCTGCCTCGGGAGCGTTGTGTCAGTAATGGAGGAGGATGAAGCAATGTCTTTTTTAATGTGTGTTGTGGTTGTCCCTCCACACCCGGACACACCGGGAAGGAGGTTTGCAAGCTGATGCCAGGATGATGCTATTTTTAAAATTAATGTAAAACCTGAGATAAAAGGAGCCCAGGAATGTACTATTAAACATGATTTTCTTTAACTGTCCTGGCTGTCACAAGAATCTGTTCAGTTTCTGGGGAGTTTTGCCCTTGAATGCTTTTGCAATGGTAAGTACATTAGTTGCTGCCAGAGGATTGTCCTAACGGCCTCCAGAACTAATGGTGACGTGCAGCCCGAGGCCATGTGTGGATATTTACTTATAATGTACATTATTGTTCTTTTAACTCACTGGTAGGTTATTTATGGAGAAGTAATTTGTCACCCTTCTCTTTCCAACTCTCCAACTTTTTTGTGTGATCTGGGAGGGACTGGGAGTTATAAATTTTCCTTCTGTTAGATGAGATCCAGCCCGTGATTGTCAAGGGAAATGTCTCTTTTGGTCTCAGCACCCTGTGATACCTGCAAAATGACAAATGTAGCCTGCCAAGGGACACGAGCAACCTCCTGGGACTCCTCAGACCACTCAGTCTGTCACTGTCCCTGCCCACACACACCATTTATACTCCATTTCTTCTGGGGTAAGGGTGTACCTGATGCTTGGGAGCTTCTCTTGAATTCATTTTAAGCCTTAGGTAAGAGTGCAGGTGAAAATACCGTAAAAGAAATGTCAGTTCTTGATGGCCAAGTTGGAAGCAAAATTCCAGGTAGGAGACAGATAGAAGAAAACTTTGTCTTCAGGAAAGGTGTTTCCCAGCTGAGGCGAGTTCTGAGTACAAACACTGAGAAGATGTTTTAGCAAACAGCCACCAAATCTCTGCATCCCTTTTCTGAATAGGACCTGAAAGTCGGCTTAAAGTTGGGATTTTAACTCCTCATTCTCAGCCCTCAGCAGGACAGTGCTGTGCTCTTTCTCTCCCTTTGTTCAAGATGGAAAATCTCCTGTCTTTCACTTTATTTTTTTATTCTTCTTCTTTTTTTTTTTTTTTTTTTCTAATTCAAAGCTTCCTTCCTTCCTTCCTGCAGCTTCTGGATTTCTCCCAACGTGGATGTGACGACTCACGTTTCCCAGATGTGAAATGCAAATGTGGGAAGTGGGATCTTTCCCCTGCCTCTCCAGGGGTTTCTCAGTGTCTGTGCTGCTGTTGAGTTTCTCATTTAATTTCTCCCTCCCAATTCAAATGGTTTTCCTGCTGGCCTCAGTGCTTCTGGGGCTGTTACACTACTTAATAAGTCACATCTTTGTGTTCCTTGCACACACATCTTAAACTTGGTTGGCTTTTAGAGCTTCTTGAGGACCACACAAAACCTAATTTAGTCCATTGATGTAGGGAAATACCTCCTCCTCCTGCTCATTTTAGGGCTTATCTCGTCGAGTTGACATGTTTGATGATATTAATGCCAAGTTCCTTTGACAGAGGGGTGTTTGGAGATTGTGAAATAATGCTATCCTAATAGTTACAGTTTATTACCTAGATGGGGTGAATTTCCATTGTAAATAGAAGGTATTCTTGAAAAAAACCACTAGGGCTTGTTCTCTTTCATGGAAAAAAACTTAATTTCACCTAGAGAAGATTTTAAGGATTGTCATTTTCTGTGTATCAAGGTATAAACGTTGTTTTTAGACATATTTTTTTTTTTTGTCTGGTCATTCTTGAGTTACTCTTGCTTCCTTTGTCATCCACCTAGTAAGCTGTTTAAAGTGAAAGTGATGCCACTAAAAGGATTATTGATAATGGGATCTGGTTAAGAGACAATGGGCTGGGATAACAGGATAAGAGGGAAACGGTTGAGTCCTTTTAAGCCTCTCAAATTTTGGTTCTCAAGCTGGTGTGTGAGACTTTGACCAAATGATGCTCATACAGGTGTCCAACCTGAACAGCCAGCAAATGCCTTCCTTCATGGTGGCTCCTTGGCCAGTAACGTCCATAAGGAAGCTGAGACAGAGGAGCCAGGACTATTTTTATTTTTTTTTTTTAAACTTTCTCATAACTCCTGTGGAAGCACGGTACCAGGAAGGAAGCCTGTATCGATTTCTACAATCTTTTACTGAATTTTCTTAGCGGGGTGTTTGTTTCTATAAAGTTTCCAATGCAGGGGCTGAAGATGCTGGGATAATGGGCTTGCAGCTGGGCTGCAGGATCCCCTGCAGGATTCAGAGGGGTCCTCTGAAGTGTTTCTGTGTGAGCGGCTGCTGATGGGGGTGTTTGGGTGTTTTAGGGGGGAGCTGGCAGGCTGGGATGGTTCCGTGGCTGTAAATGCCCTGCTGCTCTCAGCTGCCCTAAGTGGGACTTGGTGTAATAGGAAGAAGAGACAGAGCATTTTTATAAATTCTTTTATGACCGGTTCTTACATAAATTTCTAGGTTTTTGTTTGTTTGGGGTTTTTTTTTGTAGATAGCATCAGTCTCTTTCTCTTTTTTCCCTTTTCAAGTCCTCTAAAATTTCACCTTTTATGGGCTCCCTTATCATTACTGTCTAACGATGACCCCCCGATGTCTTGTCCTGCTGCTCCATCTGGGTCCTTTCATTCCTCCTTTTATAGCTCTCTGCCTGCCCAGCGTAGCTCGTGGGGAAAAGACAAACACGATACAATCTGGGGAAGGCAGTTTCCTGTCTCGTTGCTCCTAACAACACTCCAGCTTCTCTTCTGTACAGTTTCTTCCCTCCCTATTTACAGGTTAATTTTCCCGAGGCACCCTTGGGGTCCTTTGCTGCAGAGTCCTTGCTCTTGTACTTTTTATAAATTAAGCTAATCCCGTGGTCGGCTATTTTTTAAAGCTTTCTCTCCAGTGGCATCTCCATAAGTTCCTTAAACGTGAACATCAGGATGTTGGAAGGATGTTATGTTCAGTTTGCTGATAGTTCCGTGAGTCTCTGGAGCCAAGAAGACAGGAGCTGAGGGGCTCTGTGGGAACAGCAGAGAGGGCAAAAATGGAAATTAACTTCTAAAGAATTAAAATAGCCGGAAATGTGGAGAGCAAAGGTAAAATCTACTTAGTAGGACAGGTAGATACATCTCTTTTTTTCATGTTTCACTTACCAAATCAAAAACTTTCTCTATGAAGATAAACGTTCTTTAACATAAAATTGAGAACTGCATTTCTGGGCTGCGATGCTCATTAGCAGAAGTACGTGGAGCTCCTTAAGGAACATGGAAAGTTCCTGCAAATGATGTAATGGAGCAGCTGCAGCAGCACTCACTCAGCAGAGGGAACCTAAGGCGCTTTTCTCAAAGCTTTAAAAGATTCCTTAAGAGCTAAAATAAGGTGTCAGGCAAGGATCTGGTTGAAGTACGTGTGGCTGGGGGAGGCTGAACAGAAGAGCGAGCGTGAAGAATGCGCTGATGCGCCCCAGGCGCCGTGGTTGGTTGTTCACTTCCAGTCTGTGATTTCACTCAGATAGTGCACGCTGTCAAATATGTTCTTCCTGGACAGAGATTTATTATTTTTTTTCACATGGCACGCTAAGAGTCGTTTTCTCTTGGCCTCCATCTATTTCCTTGTCTTTCATTTGGGTATTTGATGTTTCCTTCCCAGCTCAGTCGCTTCCCTGCTGTCAGTTTCTGAAGTCTGTGTGCAGTGACACACACAAGCTGCCTCTACAGAGATGTGCTCATCGGTATGGACCTATGGCTGTACTATTTATATGTAATGTATATCTTATATCTATCAAGTATAATATATTATGCTTTTTAAAATAGACTAAATGCAATCTGTGCAATGACTTCTCAGAAATACCTAACCCTGGGAGGCAACACTCATCAGTAGCTGCTGTTGGGAGCCTGTGTCAGGACACATCCTGGGTTTTGTCTTAAACTGTTGTCTTTCCAGCATTTAGAGATTTTTCTTCCATTCCCGCTGGGGATTATATTAATGCATGGTTGTCTATACAATAATGATATATTATCATTATTAAAGGGAAAATTACTAGTGGCTTTGAATTGATGGTGGGGCTATCTTAATTTTACAGAGTTCAAGGTTTCAGCTGAAAAGCTCTCAAGAAGAATAATGGTCGTGGTGACAGCTCGCTGCCCTAGGGTACAGGTTGTCCGTTAGAGGAGCACGTACAGCACTAAGTATCCTAATAGCTTTGTTTCAGAGCATCAGCTTGTGTGAACGAAAGGAAATAACCTGCCTTGCCTTGTCATGCCTGATTAGTTTTTGCAAACAAATCTTGCGTATTGCAGGAGAAGATGATGAATTGACGCCAGCAGCAGCCCTAGAACATCAGATAAATAGGGGCAATCTTCTGGATTAGCTTGTTCTGTAGGTGCGGAGTTTGTTTTCAAAAACAGCCATCTCCATTCCCTTTAGAAAGCACTAGTGTAAGATTCACAAAATTAATAATAAAAAGTGTTGGGGTTTTTTTTCTGTGGGAATTGTTAAAACCCGACAATGCCACTGGGGCTCTGAACACTGCAAGAAAGATGTCTTTGTTTAAGACCCAGCCAGGAACCCCGAGGACATTATAAACCAAATTAGTTTTACATAACTTGAATAAGGCTTTTCCATAAATGGAAGGGCTAAAAAGATGGCAACTGTGCAAGAGCTCAAAGCACAAGTGCATGTTCTGTAAGTACCTCACTGAGATCCCCAGGTGAGGCCCTATCAGTTTCCCATGGCCCTGCCTCCTGCTGTCTTGGCTTCCCCTCTGCGTAACGGTCTAAAAAGATGTTAAAATGGAGCCAGTGATGGCACTGTGCCCCCTCACTTCTTCCTCTATAGATAACCTGCATTATTTAAGGACTAACCTACCAGAAACTATGCATTATTTAAGCACTAACCTACCAGAAACTATGCTAAAGGGTCAAAAGTTTTCCTTTATCATTTGCTTAGCCCTTTGCTGTAGACCCCTTCCATCAGGCTGTTGTTTTTCTGTTAGCCCCATGCCAGGAGTGTCCAGAGAAAAGGGAAGTTCACATTACATTTTTCATCTGAGCGCCACCAGCTCTCAGCAGACAGCAACTGTTTCTGCTGGGGCTCCGGCCATGCCCTTTGGTTTAGCAATTTCTGGCAAACTTGACAAATTAAGGAGTTGGTGTTGCAACGTGATCGCTGTGGGAGGCCAGAACGGCTCTTCCTTTCCCAGCGACGCGCTTCTCGGTAGGGGAATGACTAACGGATGTGGTGATGTTCTACCACCTTTTCTTTTTGCCGTCTTTTTCATATTTCTGCCCTGAGTATTTGTGCTCTTGGCTAAAGGGGAGTTTTCTCAACTCCTGCCCCTCTTTTGTGCCACCCCACTCACCCGTGCCCCTCTCTGGCACCTCCCTGCTCTCCCAACCAGATGTTGACCATCCCTTTGGTTGCCACGTTGCTTCTCCTGATCCCACATCGATGCTCTGTTCAGCCTCTCCTCTCCAACAGCCATCTCCCAACCTCAGACTCACAAACTGAGGCAAAAGAAGAATATTTGCTGCTCAGCAAAGCGATGGGACTTAATAAACTGGGCTCTCATCTTTTCTATCTTGATGATAGGTTTTGGATGGCAGGCAAGTTTTGTTAGGTGTTTGCAGGATGCCCAGCACTGTGGCACACGCTGTCTGATTACGAGTCCCAGAGTACTACCAGAATACAAATAGGTTCTTAGTGTTGTTCTTATTTCATAACATAGGAAAACCCCTCCTTCAAAAATATAAGAGAGATTGAAGATTTGCAGAGGAAACTGTCCAGGTTTATGCAGGTGTATTATAGTAAAAAAAAAACTGGAAAAAGTTATTACAATCTGTCTTAACACGCTTCTTGTGTTAGTTCTTGTACAGATACAGCTAATCCCCGTACTCACTGCCTGGCACAAGGAGAATTTCCACGGACCAACCTGCCAATCTTTTCAGAAAAGCATAAAATTAGTTTTTTTTCTAAAGGCTGGACAGAGACACCTCAGCAGAGCAGAAAGCTGAGGATATAGAGTGGCAGCCTCAAAAGCTCGGTGGTCTTATTTTTACTTAGGAACATGGCATTGGAAAGGACCTTTGGCTTTTTTTTTTCTTAAGCGAGTCAAAGTCATAGTCATACAGCTTTTGATAAATGGCCTCTGCTGAAATCAAAACAAACTGTACTTTTCCAGTTAAATAGCTAACCCCGGGTGCAGGATGGGATGGCTCTTTGTTGGGGAAAATATATTAGATTAGAAAGAGCCTTTGAATCCCAAGAGCTGTACGGAATTAAAGAGTCTTTACCTCCCGTGTGTTTAAGAACAACTTGGAATTTAGCTGCCTGCCAGACTGCTGCCTGCAGTGCCCACTGTGGTAGGCAGTTGCTGGGGGGTGTAGCAAAAGGAGGGTAAAAAAGTGCCATTTCTTGACAATCCACTTGACAGAATCTTCTTTCAAAACACATTGAATAGTTAATCTTAGACATTTCCTATGATCCACTGTCACATAGCACATAAATTGATTCTCTTTGTTACTTAACTTTCCTACTCATTCTGTGCCCTTTTTATTATTTTTTATTCATAGTTCTTTTCTTCTGTTTGTTTATTTTTTTGTTTGTTTCAGTTTGGGTTTTTTTATTAAGGATGCAGCAGTCAGGAAAGGGAACAGAATCAAGGAATTAAAGCAAGAGGTTAATGTGATTGAATGCAGCAAATGGCAACAAATAATTGATGCTTGGTACAATCTTAAGGACAGAAAAACAAGAAAGGTCGTAGAACTGTCCCCCAGCTGCATGAATTGGGTAAATACAGGGAAATATTCAGACTTCCCTAGAGCTAGGTGAATAGGGTGGTAAATGTAGTTAATATATGCAATTCCACTACCTTTCGCTCCAAGCGTTAATGAATTTTCTCCAGCTATGCCTAAGCTGCTTTATGCTTGTTCTTCATAAAATTCATCTGCACGAATGTTCTCAAAGTGACTTTGAAAGCGGTGTGTGGTGGTGTTAATGAGAAAAATAGGGTTTAAATTCATGGGTGCGAGTGAACCTGTTGCGAGAGTGTGTCCTGGACACACAGAGACTGTCACAAGTTTCTCAGGTCTCATCCAGCCCATCGTCACCATGAAGGCAGCAAATGGCACATACAGTTTATGTGTGTGCGGGTATCTTACACTCATTCGGAAAGAAAATTCTAGATAAATCTCATTCTTCTCTCATGTGCGTGTCTGTACTAATCAAACGGGTAAAAATAAGTGTTAATTTATGCTGGTACATGTCTTTAGGCCAGCTCCTTTGGGATAAACTGCACAAAACCCCTCCGTGCAGTTCTCAAAGAAATTGTGAAGGCATCTTCACGCACAGTCATTGGAATTTTGTGTAGCCAGGACGGTGCAAAGAAGCAGAAAGGAGAGAACCCCCAGTGTGGTCTGGAGGCTGCAGGCGAGTCAGGGGGATGCTCTCAGGAGCAGCTGTTTTCTTTCCAGCATTCTCAAAAACCCCATTTTTTGAGAAACCAGGTTATCTATAGGTTATTTATCCTGCCAAATTAGCACCTCATGTATTAACTTGGGGAACAGACTCACTGTTCAGCGAGCTGTCGGGTAACTAAGGCTTTCCTAGGGATCAGCAGAATTTGTTGCCACCTTCACCCCACTTACATCTTCTTGGAACTCACAGCAAAGCACATTTACTTAATGCTTGACTGAAAATTATGCAGCAAAGGTCGCAAAGTGCAGTGCTTTTTTCATGAGCTTTGCTTTTAACCCCACTTTCCTTCAGCCCAGTCACACAGCAGGAACTTTTGTGCGTGTCCGAGATGTGTTAGGATAGCAACCAGCATTGCTAGTGGGGGTCAGAGAAAGGCAGAACAGGTATGCAGTAAAAGTCTCATCCTGCACCAGAAAGGTTAAGAAAAGGTGTGACATGAGAGTGAACCAAAGTAGGGCTGAGAAGGACTGGCAAGGACTAAGGTTGCTCAGAAAAAATATGTACTTTCTGCCTCTTCGATGTCATTTGCAGAGTCCACAATCCATGCTACCCGTGCTACGGATCATTAGGAAACAGCAGCAGGGTGGGAGCAGTTGGAGTTTTCTCACCCCAGAATAAAATGCCATAAGTGTTTATGAGTCATGCACAGCAACAAGAAAGGTAATTATTTAACTTGCTTATTAGTTCGGTGCCTATGGCAGGCACAGCGCTCCCTCAAAGCGACCATGAAGTGAAGGAGATGAGGTTTGCACTGATCCTGCTGTGGGGAGGTGCCTGTTTCCACGTTGACCAGGCATTTCTTACAACGTGGTGGTTTTCGGTTGCTTGTAACCTCATTAAATGTTTGCTGTTTGCGTGAACGTTGGCAGGCAGGGTTCTGTGAAAATAACAGCAAGTGATCGTGTAACCAAATGCCTAATCTGTGTTTGCTTAGCCTGGGATGTCATCAAATTCTTCCCAAGTGTGTTAGTGTACAGCTGAAATGTCCCAGACCCCATGTGAAACTTGCCTGGGAAGCTGGGCCAGAGACCCAGGCTGAGGTCAGAGCACCCAGCTATTGCCGTACATGCATCAAAATCAGTTCAAGATCTGTGTGTGGACATTGTTGACTCCTCTGAGAAGATTTTGTGTGTATTTCTGCTCATTGAAGGTTTATTGTTATCCCTTCTGCCATTCCTGGAACTTCCTCCTGCACCCTTAATAATCAGAACTTGAAATTAAATCTTCATCCTTCCAGAAGGGGCAGTGAAAGGTACTGCTCAGATCCAAAATAAGAAGCCCTGCCCTGCCAAGGCTCTGCAAAAGTGCTTCAGAGCTGGAATTGCTCAGGGTCTCTCTCTGATGGATCATGTGCTTATGCAAACTCCACCAAATGGCATCACTTGCCAGGAAACCCTTGAGCAAAATCATTTCAGCTTCCAGTGCCCCATTAGTTCAGGTGGCTGTCGTGGGTTCTTATGGGCTGTTCCATCAGCCAGGCATTGGAACGTAAAATATCAAACTTCCAGTCATACACTAAATCCACCTCTGAGTCCCTTCGTGTTAGATGCAAAGTGTGGAGGCCGCAGACACCCACAAAGTGTTTAATTTTGTTTTCCATCTAAGAAGACAGGGCTGTGGAGGTGGTTTGCATCAAATTGTACGGTTTGACGAGCTGGTCTTTCACTGATCCAGCATGAAGGATCTTATAACCGCCACCTTAGCCATGAGATACCTTGTTGATCCAACATTTGACATAGTTAATAAGACGGTTGTTGCTTGGAGCTATACAGAAAGGGATGTGTAATGGAGCCTATGAGTTAAAAATAAAAGATCAGTCGTTAGTTCGTGTCAGCTTACTCAAAATGTAACAGAAACCCTGCAAAATTGTCTGTCTCCTGGATGGATTCAACACAGGAGATGTACGGTCTGCTCACAAATTAGCAGCACAAATACAGAAGGTGTTTGTCAAGTGGGAACTCCATGGATGTGTCTTCTCTATCGTGTGCCTGGCATCCTCTGACTAAATCTTGACCATAGGCGTTTTCAGCCTCCTTCACAGATGTTGTGTATACACTCTACTTCCCTACACGCGTGCTTTTATTATTTTATTATTAGTCAATCTGCTGTACTTCTTTACCCCCTCAGTTTGTCTGTGTTCATGTCGGAGTTTGTTTCAGACCATAGTGGGGAGGGAAGGAGGGTGTAGGTACACGCTGGCACTGCCGGGTGTTTGTCCTGAAGCGAATGGGTAAGGTCAATAAAATGAACTTTACACTTTGAGCAGGATGTCACAAAGCTTGTGAAGAGGCCAGGGGTGTCCTCGGGGCTGTGTGGGCACCCGCAGAGGCCACTCAGAAAGCTCCGTCAGCCGCGTGGGCATTTTTGGCTGGGTATTAGAAAGTTGTGTCACAACAGGCAGACTGTCCTGGTCTCCGTTTCATTGATCTTTTTCTGTACGCAAGTCCCAGCAGTGGAATACCTCAACGATGAGGTTTGGAATCGTAATGGTACTTCATGCTGCAGTGGAGATCCCTGTTGTGCCTGTAGACCCGTATAAACACAGGGTGTAACACGGACGTCTTAAAGACTTTATAATAAAATTTAACTTATGATGAAACAGGTATTTGTGACAATGGAGAATAATATAGACTGTCAGCACTAATTCTTATTGTGGGCATTGCTGTGGGCTCTCAATCATTAGAAAGCTTTATACAAATATAAATAAGTTTTAGCAAAGCCTATTACACAAAGACAGAAAATAGGATAGTAACTTTTATTTCCATATAGGGAAGAACGGCTGCTTTGAATGGAGACTGTGGTGGAAAATACGATTTGGGACAGGGCCTGGGGGAGGTGGGGGGAGCCAGCTGAAGGCAAATAAGCTGCAGTAAAGCGTGTGACTTGTATGTATTACAACATTTCTGGGGGAAAAAAACGGTATTGTGTGCCAGGATGTAACTGCTGGGCAAATTACTCCGAAATCAGTGATACTGGCACAGTACGTCCTCTCCCAACTGTGAGGGTTACTGCGCAGGCCTTGTGCCCTGACACCCTCTCAGCCTGTTTAATTTTTATTTATTTCTCTCTCTGTCTCTCCCTTCAGATGGCCAGTAACCCATGTGGTGGGCAGCCCCAGCCCGTCCTTGCCGTGCCGGCCCTGCTCGGCCCCCGCCGCTGAGGGGGGGAGAAGGGAGGAATCGCCCGGGCCTACGCCATGGCCTCGCCCCGCCGCCCCGGCCCTCCTGACGGAGGCTGGGGATGGATGATCGTTGCCGGCTGCTTCCTCGTCACTATCTGTACCAGGGCTGTGACAAGGTAAAGGGGCTGCTTCTTTGTCTTTCTGACCTGTCTGCGGCATTACCCCTTTTTTGTTTTTCTCTGGAGGAGGAGGAGGAGGATTTGGGATCTCCCCTGATGTCCCGCAGCTGCAGGGGTTATTCTGGAGAGGTGCAAACCTCCCTCCCACTACATTTTTAAAGGATTCCTGAAATCCCTGTGGCTGTGAAGAGGGCTGAGGGATTATGAGCCCTCTGGTTTGTGTCTGGCCTCCTCTGACAGCTGCCCTGCCTCTCAACACCCTCTCCATGAGACCCTGCAGAACCGGAGCCTGGGGCAGACAGTGTTATTTTGGGCTGAGGTGGTTTGATTGAGGAGGGAGGAATCATGTAGGGTCTCTTTGGGCCCACTGTGTCCCCCTGACCCCACAGCCGTGCTCATTGTTCCTAGTCCCAGTAGATTTGCCAAGAAACCTGTAAAATACCCCCTTTTCCTACTGCAAAGCATTTTGGGCACTGTCCTTACTGAGAAGGTCCATGACCTAGAGAGGAGGCCCCTCTCTATACCCTTCTGGTATCCGAAACATGCAGAAAGCATTTTCTCAAAAATAGAAAGAACAGGAATAGACTGCTGCCTCATGTAAACAGAACATATACATCTGGAGTGAGATGGCTTCCACAGCTGCTGTGGGGTGGCTTTGATGTCGGCTGGAGGCAGAGGAGCCTGGTGTGTGTGAACATGGACATTGAAACTGTATTAAGCAGAGAGAGATAGGCACCCTGGGTGAGCGAGGAAGATGGGGACAGTGTCTTGTTGGACAGCCAGTGTAATGCAAAAATACTGTTTCCTACCTAGATTTTATACTTCTTTTAAAACAAAGCTGCCAGGCTCAGGGATCTCAAGTCTAGGGTCCAGAGTCAATAGCATAAAAGGGGCATGGAAACACTGACACAGTGCTAGTTTATGTATGCAAATATACAAATGCCATAATGACAGTAGAGATTTCTTAATGGATCTAATTCATTTTCACGTGTGAAATGTGTTAGAGCCAAGAAATCATCTAATGGCTGGCACACCTGTAGTGTGTAGAAGAGAACGAAGAACAGCTGAAGAAAGTGTTTGTTTGTTGATTTGCAAGAAAGGAAAAAAGGGAGGGGGAAAGGGGTTCTCTTGCTGATCCAGAAACCAGAGTGAAACTATGTGGCCTTTTAATCCATTCCCCTGCAGAGACAGGTAGAACAGTAACACTCATTAAGCAGAGCAAAGTAACCTCTCCTGGAAGTATTTTAATAATGAACTCTTGGAAGGTCCCAGGGCTCCTGCTGAGTTTTGATTCTCTGTTCACCAGGAGTTGCTTTTCACTTACTTTGCGCTTGTGCGTCCGTGAACACGGAGCTGTAGGTGGTGTTGGCTCGATGGGTGCTGTGCTGGCCCTGCCTTCGGCCACATTGTGCAGATGTGGATGCCACCACTGGTGAGCAACCAGTTCTGCCAGAAACTGGGGAGCTGGGGCTTTGTGTGCCAGGGAAGCGACACCATGATGTGGGCAATCATCATTGCTGGTGATAATTGCAATTTCAATTTCATTTCAGTTAAAAAATAACATGAGTTATAAAAATCTAAACGCTGGATGCCAATTTGTGATTCAGTGGTTGCCAGTGCAAAGCAAGGATTCTTCTCCAGTTGAGTGACCCCAGCCTAGGTGCCTTACACAGAGTACTGTTGGAATTATTCTGCTTGCACAAACCATTTTGGGTCTTGTCCCTCATGCACTGAGGTGGCTCTTCACTTCCAATATCCCAATTCTGAGAAACTTTTTCTCAGAAACTGTTTCATAGAAATTTTCTCCATCTTGGTGGGATTTGGGTAAGCCACGGGTTTGATTTTCCTGGGAGCTAGAGAGGACCTTCAAGTGGGTACTCTTTATACCTGAATTTTATATTGGCATTTCCTGTGAGGCAAATATCCCACCTTTAACAGGGTGGTGTTCATGTTTTCTTTCCTAGGTGCATCTCCATTTTTTTTGTGGAGTTCCAGGCGTACTTTGGGCAGGACTATGCCAGAACAGCTTGGATCCACTCCATCGTTGACTGTGCTACGATGCTCTGTGGTGTGTATTGCCCTTTTTAAGGCTAATGCAGCTGCTTTTTCTTCAGCTCCATCTGGTTTTAGCGTGTTCACAAGTTGGTGGAGTCAGCTGGGGAGGAGAGATACCGTGGGCTCTCTGGAGTAGGGTATATCCAAGCTGCTTCCCCCAGCGTGGTTGTGCAGGAAGGGAGTGTCTTCAGACTGTGGAAAAGCAGCAGAACTTTGTGTTGTCAAATGATCTAAGTTTTCAGAAATGTACTTTTGTCGAGGTCTAGTGGGACAAGTTGTGTTTGAGAGCTACTAACAGCACTCGTTTCTCTTGCCTTTTGATTGGAATCATATTTGAGACTTAGCACAGGACGTACATCTTGCCTTCAGCTCATCACAGTTGTCCTCCTTTTAGCAAACTTGCACGTTTACAAATAGCCTTTTCCCTTAAAAGAAAGTTCAGCGTTACTAAAAATGATGTGCATCAATATAGCAGTTGTACCCGATTTCTCCTGGGTTTGCTTTAAAACTGCACAGCTAGGTGAACATCCATGCCCTGATTCTTTTGGGAGAGGGTTAATCCTTGAGAATTGCTGCGAAGGCACAGGGACACAGCTGGAATGAGACACAGCTGCTCTCCTCTGCCAGGCAGGTTATATATTGGGGACAAAAAAGAGAAATAAGGAAACCTTGCCTTGCTCACCTGCTGCTGCCTTTTCCTTGATGACCATTGCAACGCCCTGTGTGTGAGGGCCTGCCATTAACTACCAGCTTTATTTGTTTCTTTGAAGCCCCGCTCGGGAGTTTAATCAGTAATCACGTATCCTGCCAAGTTGGTATCATGCTGGGAGGGCTGCTTGCATCTGCTGGACTAATTTTGAGCTCATTCGCCACCAGCCTGGAGCATCTCTACTTATCGTTAGGAGTCCTTACAGGTAGGAGGCGTTTGTCCCCTCTGCTCCTGCCACCAAAGCAACATGGGAATGTTAAATATGATGGTCCTCCCTTTCAGGAGGAGAGATCTCCTTCATGTCATATTGGTCGGAAGAGACACTCTATTCCCCTCATTGTAAAAGAGAGGCTTTGGCTGTCCCTCTGAGGGTTTCAGCCCTCGGTGGGTCTCCCACAGCCCAAACGCAACACGCTACAAAAGCAGCTCTTCGACTGCTCTTAGGCACTGGACTACAGAAAACCTGGGAGGTTTTGTGAAGTGAAATGCTGGGAGGTCATTGACTTCTGTTGTAGGTGACACACGAAAAGGTTTCCTTTTTTTTGCCTGTGATTTGGGAGGACTTTGTGATGGTAGGAGTTCTAGGCTACCCCAAAATATTTGTGTATTAAAATAAAAAAGTTTAAATGCAAACATAAGAGTGACTGGGGAGAGGAGCAGGGGGTGAATACCTGGCACCTCAGCCGTGCACCTTATTTCTGTCTGCATTACATTCCATCTGAAAAGCAAACAAATTGCCGGTTGGCAGCGTTGCTGTAGTGTTTGGATACGGTGGTAACAACTCTCTCTGCTCTGTCCTATCTCCCGGTGCTTGGTGTGCCCAGAGGAACCTGAGAGGTGCCCGTGGTCACACTGACATTCCTTCCTCATTACTGCTGACCTGGTAGCCACGGTGACATAAGCCCTTGTGCTTGGTTCCCTGCTGTTTAGTAACAAGTTGGTGGAATTACTGCCGTTCACATGCTGCCAACAGCTTACTTGGTGTTTTTTTTTTAAAAAAAAAATAATAAAATCCTTATTGTAGTGCATGTCAGTCCTGTATTACAATGTTAATCTTTGACAAATGTGTTCATTACAAATAAAAAGGCTCCTTGTAACCTGAGGGACTGTGCCACATACCATGCTAATGCCACCGAGGCTTCCTTAGCGAGAGCCGCTGGGAATACTGAGGTGGAAAAGCACTTTGTACCTGGAGTTGATGAACTTGAAGCACTGAACTTCTAGTCTGTGGGGCTTGATTAATGGTGAGGTGAACTGTTGGCAAGGGCTCCAGGTGGTGCCCCAGTCCAGAGAGGAGGTGGGAGCACAACTGGAGAATGTCTAAATCCATAAAAGCTGCAGGACTCGAAACTGTGAGGAGCAAAGCAGAGGTGAGCTGGGGGAGTGGCAGTAAGGAGCAGAGCTCCTTCTAAGAGGCATGGAAATGCTTTCAGCCCCAAGCTTTTCATTTCCACTTTTCACAGGACATTTATTGGCTTTTCTGGGGACCTGTTTTCCCTCTACCAACTCCCTAAAAAAATAAGAGATGTGTACCCCAAATAGAGCATGATTTTCACAGCTCCCGAGCGCTGACGCCTAGCTCAGGGCTGCTCCCCCAGCTCTGCTGCCTACACGGGTCCAACCCCAGCTCCTCCCCTGGCCTCCTGAGAGGTGCCGGACCCCCGGAGTCCCTCTAATCCACTTATCCCCTCCTGGCAGGCTTAGTGCCCGCCTGACACAGTGCAGCCTTTGAGGAGGAGGTGGCAAGCTGGTTACGGCACCGGATGATTATCTCCTCTGTTGGCAAGTTCTGCCACAGGCGGTGGGGACCGTTTTACCCTCAATGTAGGACGTGCTCCAAAAACCTAGTCAGGAACTCATTTCTGCGTCTGATTCAGAAATGTGTTAGTGTTAGGGCAAGCATTTGGTGATGAAAATCTGCTCTCAGACCACAATTTTTCCCAGTCAAAGAGATGGATCTTAGTTGTTTACTAAATAGGACACGGCTTCGTTTTCTGAGGCTTTCCCCCCCCCTCTTTACTTGCAGACAGGGATTTAAAATGGTCAGGACTCCAAGCAGCTGCTGTGTGGAGTTTCTTTTGCTGAATAAAAAAGGTTTTATTGTAGAATATTAGTAACAGAGACAGATTCTTTGTGCTGTGTTTCAGAGAACCTGAAAATTAATGTTGAGGGTTGCAGCAGACCGAAACACAAAGTGGTGCCTCATCAGAACGGTGTGCCCAGTGCCAGCATCTGCACAGACCCTGGGGCGAGACCCCGTCTTGCATCCAGGAGGGGCTAACACGCCATCTCTCTGATGTTTATCTGTCGTTCTTGTTATTAACCAAACCCCTTCACTTCTTTCTGAGCCTTGTTATTGTGGATTAATTGTGATCCGTCAGGTTTGTGAAGTCAGTGGCCCTGCTGGTGGAGGGAAGGAGTCATCCTGGTTCTCTTCACACTGTGACGGGGCTGCCCGATACAGCTAATGAATTTGTTTGTGCTAATGAAAGTAGGTTATGGGGCTTAATTTAATGTCTTCCACGCGTCGTGCTTAGTATTAAGCCCTCTGCACTGTGCTTTCTCTTCCAGGGCTTGGGTTTGCACTCTGTTACTCTCCAGCCATCGCGATGGTGGGCAAATATTTCAACAAAAGGAAAGCGCTGGCCTATGGAATAGCCATGTCAGGAAGCGGGATCGGCACCTTCATTCTTGCCCCCGTGGTCCAGCTCTTGATCGAGCAGTTTTCCTGGCGCGGAGCTTTACTCATCCTGGGAGGTTTTGTTTTAAACCTCTGTGTCTGCGGTGCCTTGATGCGGCCCATCGCTCTGAAGGAGGACCCTAAAACTGCTCCCGAGTTTCTTGAACAGGATTATGTCCCCAAAGCACAGAAACGAGACTTGAAACGAATGTCCGTCTGCTCGCCTTTAATCAAAGCGTGGTCTCATCAATGTTTATGCTACTGTTCGTGGAAGGAATATGACTTTTTACTGATGCCAGGCTTTATGGTGCTGGCAGTGTCGGTTTTATTTATGGCATATGGCTGTAGCCCTCTTTTTGTCTACTTAGTGCCTTACGCTCTGAGCGTTGGAGTGAGCCACCACCAGGCTGCCTTCCTCATGTCCATCCTGGGAGTCATCGACATCATCGGGAACGTCACCTTCGGATGGCTAACGGACAGAAGGTAACAGCTTACAGCTAAGAGAGCGTCAGCTTTGGCTGGGGAGAGGCTGGATGCAAGCGAGGTGGAACACACCTAAAAGTTAACATTATGGGCTTTTTCTGTAGCATGTGTAACATTAAAAAAAAACCAAAACCAACAACAAAACCACCCCCAACAAACCATCACACTTTCTAACTTTCAGAAATGCTTGCTCTTTAATGTTTTTGTCCTTTTCGAGTTTGTTCAATTCTGCTGGTTCAGTCTCTTTTTTTTCTGAAGAAATGGTGTGTTTGTGCAAAGTGGAAATGTAACCCCCTGCCTGAGGCTCTTTGCGTGTGAGCCTCTGTACCTGTTTCCTAGAGGATCTCACTCTACTTTCCCTGCCTTCCCATCTTCTTAGTGCTGCTGGGAGGCACAGAAGGTATGGAAAACAGCCAAGGGTCTGGCCTGGGAGGCACAGAAGGTATGGAAAACAGCCAAGGGTCTGGCCCAGCCCTGTCAGGAATATACTCAGAGCTAAAATTGTTACACATTTTCCAGTATGTAAGAACTCACCACGCTTTGTTAGCTCAGTTCACTCCAAACATCTGTGTACAGCACCTCGAGCATTGGTAGAGACTGGGTAAATTAAGAAGGGTTTTGATTTTAAAGGACACATCCTTTGTGCTTATTCAGTTTGTGTGAAAAATCAAGTGTTGGTTTTGTAGGGGAGGGAGAAAAGGAATTGCCATCTCACTCAGCTCCCGGTAGCTCCAGTGTTTAAGGGCAGATGTGAAGGGTGACAGCTAAGAGAGGTATACTGTAATATTTTTTGCATAATATTGGAGTATAAAGCCACATGGAATGCTGCTTTGAACACTGAAGCTTTAGAAGGCTGCGAAACCCTGGCAGTGGAGCAGCTCCCCTCATCAAGGGCAGCCCGAAGAGCTCTGTGGGCAACACAGGCTGCTACTTCCCAGATGTTTCTGCAGCTGTAGGTGGGCAGCTTTCCCCACCCAGGGCTCATCAGTGTTGAGCTTTTCATCTTGAAGAGTGTGTATGAAAATTGACTTGGATTTGAGCTGTATAAAAGAGCCAGGGGCTGAAGTGCCGTGTGCCGGGGCACAGAAACTGCGATGCTGTGCCCAGCCATCATCATCTTCTTTTCTGTTTTGGAATTTGCAGGTGTCTGAAGAAGCATCGGCACTTCTGCTACCTCTTTGCCGTGGGAATGGATGGCCTGTGTTGTCTCTTCCTGCCGGTGCTCCACACCTTCCCCTTGCTTGTGCCTTTCTCATTTACCTTTGGCTACTTCGACGGGGCCTACGTGACGCTGATCCCCGTCGTGACGGCCGACGTCGTGGGGACTTCTGCCCTGTCGTCGGCGCTGGGCGTTGTGTATTTCCTTCATGCCATACCGTACCTGGTGAGCCCGCCTGTCGCAGGTCAGTTGGCAAATGACTTCCCTGTAACCTTATGGCTACTTCGGAGTTACCTGTTGGTGTGATGTAGAAGGAGAGGAAGGACAGCAAACACACACTGAATGTGGAGGGAGCCCCTGGGCAGGGAAATAACACACCCAGACCTTCTGAAGGGTCTAGGTCCCACTAAAGCCCTGTCTTGTTGGGATGATTTCTACATACAGAGCAAGCTGAAATTTAAAAAACAAACCAGTACAGAATGGGGCTTCTAAGAGCTGTTACATCAGCACTTCACGTAGCTCAGAAATTGTGCAAGTAGAAGGAACACAAGATTTCACTGTGAAATTACATTATTTTGAAATGTAACCTAAAAAGAGTTTCATTCCAAGGTGGTTTTTTTTTTTGTGGGGAGGACTTGATCTTTTCATCTCCAGACTGCTTTGAAGAGGTGGGGGAGTCAGCTTCACTACTGTTTGGTCACGGGCTCACCGCTGTGATATCTAACCAGCATTTCCCCCATCAGTTGGATTACAGTGACTTAAGGATGAGAGCTGTGCCTCTCTTATTCTTTAGAAAACTTGACAGAGTTCTGAGTATTGTGGAAGAACAGAGATCTGTTTTTCAAACAGCCATGTCTTGCATTTGTCTGCTGTTCATATAAATTCCCAATTAATCTCTGCTTCTGAAGGTGTTAATTTAATTTTCCATAGCAAAACCGAATTATTTTAAGTGATGCATGAGCCTAGGACATAGCTCACTAGATGGTTCTGTACCAGGAGCTCGTGCACACAATATTTCATCCCAGGGCTCTCTAAGGATGTCTAAAGGCTGCCTGTTAAATCCAGGCAGTTGAAAGATGTTTATTTAGTGTTGTGGTGATGACGGCTGCGCCTTTTCTCATGGGTTTAACCTCAAAACAAAAACCTGTAAGAATCTTATCTGCCTTCTGAGGACAAACCCCTCCCTGCCCCAGGAGGTAACAGCGTAGTGACGGGGTGTAGACCCATATTGTTTACTTGTATTGATATGGGATAACTCCAGAAGTTTGTAAAACCCCGGTTGATCGCAGGATTTGCGAATTATCAGAATTTTGATGGGCCTTTAAAACCCCAGGATTTGCTTTGCTGCAGGTTGGCTGGTGGACACGACGGGCAGCTATACCGCGTCGTTCCTCCTGTGTGGATTCTCCATGATATTTAGCTCAACCCTACTGTGCTTTGCGAGACTAGCCAAGAAAATGAAAAGAACGCATTTGCGGCCGCTCGCCGGTGACGCCGGCCCCAAAGGGCACATCTGGACCAACGGAGCCATAGCTTATTCTGTCACGGCAGAGCTGGACCAAAAGGATGTGGAGTTTTTGGCTGCGGGTACAAAGAGCTACGGCAACAGATGACAAGTGCCAAGTGACATCTGGATCCAGCTGCGACCGAGGTGGCGGTGGCTGCGCTGTGTAACGCTGCGGACGATACTGCTCCTGTGAAACAAGGCATCTCGCAATTAAGATTCTTCCGGCGTGTTTTATTTGGCTAAAATCCACACACAGCAACAGTCAGATCAGGTTAATGCAGCGACAGGAGAAAGCTGGGCTGGAAACAAAAGAGAGTTCCTAGATACAAACGTTCACGGATTTATTTGAAGTGCGGTGTGTTGACCCCACAGGCAATCTCGAAGATTATAGTTGGCTATAATCCAAAGAAATCTCTGAAGTAATTGATCACCAAAACTGAACAATAAACTTTAAATTATTTCAAAAACAGTTTTAATGAAATAAGCTTTCTGGCGTTCCAGTCTATTATGTTTCAATGGACTAATCACACAAACCGCCAAAAAAACCTCCTCGTCTATCCGTCAGCATTAAATGCTTTGCAAATAACTCTTTCAAATGCCAAAGCCATTATTTTATTTTTTTTTTTAGAAAATCTGGCAGGAAATTGTGATTTATGCTGAAAGTGTCTCTGAAACAGCTTTAATTTTTACAGTGTGCCTGAATTTTGTACATAAGTTGCAATTTAATTTCAAATATGGTTTTAGACCTACTTTCCCGAACCCACTACAGCAAAATTTTGAGGTGGCTGCTGCTTTTTGGGATGTTTTTTTTTTTTTTTCTTTAAAGCTTGAATTTCTAAACATTGGCATTGCAGGTATGATCCTCCAGCTGATCATTGGGAGGGCAGAAGAGGTGCTGTGGCTTGTCTGCTCTCTGAAGAGAGAGAAATCTGTGCCAGGGGACGAGGCGTGCTGACAGACAGACCTGGCTTAGCTGCAGTAGCTGGAAGAAGCGCAAAGGCAGCCCAGGAGACCTGGGGAGAGGCTCGGTTGTTTCCAAACACACAGCCTCTTCCTCCTGTAAAACCAGCAGCTTTTGAAGAAATTTAGAGTCTGGGCAAGCAGATGGAGACCAAGTTGTTTCTGCGTATTTCAGCAGCGAGTCTGTCTCTGCTTGCACCCAGGAGACATGTCTTCAGGTGGTGCAAATCACCTCTTTGTGCCATCTGAAGGGCTGATGGGGTCACCTGGCCCAAGGGCTGTGATTTCCCGATGGTTTCCTACTAATCGTGTGAGAAATATGCTCTGGGTGCTCAACCAGAGCCACGGACCTCATGGGGTAAATTACTGATGTGAAGAGCTAATAAATAACGGGCTGTTTCTACGTTTCCAAAGCCATCGAGGGAGGGACTTCACATTCTGAAATGCAAATCATTCCTGTGATTTGATGCTGAGTAAAGTTGCGTTCTGGTTACTAGCAAATGGATCAGAGTCCAAATAATCTTTATCAAGGCTGAACTGGTAGTTTTGTTAATCACCTGCCGTGCATCCGGTGGCTGCTCGTGGTGTCCTGACCCGCTCTTGTGCCTCAGAAGGGAAAGCGAAACGGACTGATAGTCACAAATTTTATTTAGATCAAGAGCACAGCCATAGGGGTATAAGATATTTTTTTATATATATCTGGATAGGATGTGTATCGAGTAGTTCTATTATTCATGCGTCTTTCAGATATAACAGATTAAAATTGTTTGACTTCAGTTGTCTGTGCTCAAACGAAGCGTTTCTCGCTGCCCTGCTTCAGAGCTCCCTGGTCAGAGCCAGGAGCGTGATTTATGGGAGATTAAGAGGTGGGAGCACTAAAACTGCTTAAAACTAGAGGTATGACCTTTTTTCTGCTCCATGTGGCCATTGAGTCCTGGGCCCTGATTCGGATTTTAACAGATGTTCATTAAAAAAAGACAAAAGTCATCCATGAGAGGGTGGTCAGAGCCAGGAGCGTGATTTATGGGAGATTAAGAGGTGGGAGCACTAAAACTGCTTAAAACTAGAGGTATGACCTTTTTTCTGCTCCATGTGGCCATTGAGTCCTGGGCCCTGATTCGGATTTTAACAGATGTTCATTAAAAAAAGACAAAAGTCATCCATGAGTATTTCTTAATAAGTTAGGAAAAATGTACACGTTTGGGAGGAAAAAAAAAAGGTGGCTTTATTAATTAGTGGTGAAGAAGATGTTGTTTTAGATCCTGATGCAAAAGTTTATATCAAAGGGTAGAGAATGGTGTGCTCTACAGAGAAGATAAGCTATTTCAACAAGTTGTCAGCTATTGTTGTCATTTACTTTACAAAAAATTAATTACTTTTGTAATCACATCATGATGTGTCAGATGTTGTTCCTGCCATAACTGCATATTATGCAAGTCTGTTGGAATAATACTAAATTTTTATCTTAGTAAATAATACTGTGTAATAAATTATTAGCATTTTTTGGATTTTTTTTTTTAATTTCAAGCTATTTTTTTCATAAGCTGTTTTGTGCTTAACTTTTAATCAAGGCAGTATTTCTTGTTTTAAATATCTAATTCAGCAGAAAAAATTCAGCTGGTTTTATACATGGCTCTGTTGTTGGAGAGGATAGAATTATTTCAGGCTTTTCTAACACTGTTTCTGCTCTGAATTAAGCCAGTGGGCAAAAGGCAGAATGATACTTTCAGCTGATGTATCAGAATGCTGCTCTCTGGGTGTAAAACAGAGCGGGAAGTGTCAGCCCTGTCGTGAGTCTCCCCAGCAAGAGGCAGAGAAGAGAGGAAGCAGATGTGCCAGTGGAAGAAAAGCAAATACAACCCAAGGTTTGCGAAGCCTCGTGCCAAACTCCCAACCCCGGGTCCACAAACGGAACCGCTCGTCTTCATCCTACCACATGCAGTGCTTCAGGTGGCACACTATACAAGACTCTGGATTATACTATTTTTAAAAAATGATTTATCGTATCTGCAAATTTTTATTGTATCTTTTTCAGAGATGGTAATATTCAGGCTGTTCTCCGCAGAGGGTGTCTCCTGGCATGGCACGGTGCCGTGATGGACGGATACAAGCTGGGATGGAGCTACTGCAGCCCTGAGCCCATCCAGCTTCCTGGGACAGCAGGGTCACACTTGGCTGGGGAAACATCTGCCCGAGGCAGAAACAGAGGGATCCTGTCTCAGCTGAATCCTGCTGCTGATAATACTCCGTCCTGTGCAGTGGAGTTCCTGGTTAGTAAGTAAAACCCTTTACAACTGCTGAATTTACCCCATCTGTTTCCACTGCACGAGGTTGGAAATGAGGAAATCATCATTCTTTTGACATCATTTGTGTTCTAGAGAGTTTTATCAGATTAGTTTTGGGACATTTAATAAATTATACCTTAAAAAACTATGTGAAAACAGCATTTGAAAAATCAAGTACCTTCTGCTGAAAAATAATCCTGTTTTCAGAAAAAAAGAGAGAAAACGTTGAGCATGAAATGTTTCTGCCAAATTGGATGATGATTTATGACCTGAAAAACAAAGGTTGTGTGTGCTGCTGTATGGTGAATATGTTTGAATATGTTGTTGCCACAACAATTCCTTGTTTTCTTTCTAAAGTGTTAGGAATGTGTGTGAGGAGGAAGAGGGGGTTTGACTAAAGCTGCAGCAGTGCTTCACGGTCAGCACAATGATGTCCTTAGCTGGGATTGCCTCAAAAAATAATACCTTCTGCTAAGTGACTATTTTTTTTTCCCCTGGGCCACTAGTGCAGGCCCCAGGGGTGTGTTCGGACCTGGGTGCGAATGAGAGGTGTTCACCTTCTGTCTCCTTCTGGGTTTGTCCCAAAATGCATGGTTTGGGGTTTTTTTTCAGCTTCCCCAGGCTCAAGCTCAGCCTTTTCCCAGTGTCACCAGGCAATGCAGCAGCACCACCCTGTGGGAAAGAACATTTCTCCCCGTTTATAAGACCCAAGGCAAGAAGTGGAAGGCAGTGATTGCAGCCAGCATCCCCGGGAAGTGCTGTGGGCAGAGCAACCCCCCACAGCCCCGAGAAGGTAAAGCACAATCAATAGATGGCTCGCATGTTTACACCTCACGGGGAATTTCATAGAATCACAAAATGGTTTGGGTTGGAAGGGACTGAAACTCCCCCCCAGTGCCACCCCCTGCCCTGGGCAGGAACACCTCCCACCACACCAGGGTGCCCAAAGCCCCCTCCAACCTGGCCTTGAACCCCTCCAGGGAGGCGGGAGCCACAGCTTCTCTGGGCAACCTGGGCCAGGCTCTCACCACCCTCCCAGCAAAGAATTTCTTCCCCAGATCTCATCTCCATCTCCCCTCTTTCAGGGTCAAACCCTTCCCCCTCATCCTATGGCTCCCCTCCCTCATCAAGAGTCCCTCCCCAGCTTTTCTGCAGCCATTTTAGGGACTGGAAGGGGCTCTAAGGTCTCCCCGGAGCCTTCTCTTCTCCAGGCTGAACCACCCTAACTTTCTCATCCTGTCCTCAGAGCAGAGGAGAGGAATTTCTTTGCTGTGGAGAAGATTGAGCCACTTTGACTCTTCTTAAAAGTTCAGGCTTGCATTTTTCTCAGAATACTTTACTCCTGATTTCTCCCTTTCCAGGAGAGGGGCAGGAGAGGCTCCGGGGTCAGGGTGTGGAGGGGAGCCTGGACGTGCCACCACGGCTTCCTGACATCAACCCTACCGTTGTTCCCACCAGCTTTCAGGAGTGGAGTGTTAGTCCTGCTCCCAGTCCTTCCCCTTCTCCTCCCTCCCCACTCTTTCCCTGTGTAGGGGCCACCTTTGTAAAAGAAAAGCTGGATGGATTTTGCCCCAGCCCTTTCTTAGGCAGAAGGTGGGGTTGTGTGACATGCTCCTGATCCTTTCGCTTGTGTTATGGAAGATCCTTTGAGGGAGAGCTGGCAGGGGAGAGGTTTCTTGACGTTTCATGATGGGGCTTCTGGATTTTACACTCCTTTAGGCCCGTCATCCTGTCTGTAGGTGGGACTGCTGTTGTGGGGACAGGAATGCTCCAGGAAACCAAAGTGCACATCCCTCCTGATGGGCTCTGTCACCAGTTGGCTCACTTGACGCTCCTGGCTCAGGCTTGAAGTGTATTGGAAGCACAGCATTAGTTTTCCCCAAGCACCACGATACCAAGGTACAACGCTATGGAATTAGCCCAGCCTATTGTAAAGAATACTGACTTCTAGTTGGACAACTGGAGACCATCACCTCCTCCACCCCTTCTCTCTGTTCCTGAGAGGGTGGGTTTGGGTAAATTAGACGGATGTCGGTTTGTGCTCAAGTTTAATTCTGTGCTGCAACACCTCTGAAGCCAGCTTTACTGAGAGTTCAGGGGAAATAGATGGGGCTACCTCCTGACCCTTTCATATCCTGCCAAAACTTTATCCCTGCTACTTTTTCAAATGGCCATTTCCCTTTCTTTCATCTGTTAACATCAGGATTGCTCAGCAGAGAGACGCCAAAAGCAACACTCAATGGATGCAAAGCTCTTTAATATCCATTTTGGAAGCTTTCCAGTGAACTAGCCAAACAGTGCTTACTTTTCATAGTTAAACAATACACAAGGCAGTTAAACAATAGTTAAACATAGTTAAACAATACACAAGGCAGTAAACTGAACTAGGTTTAATCCAAGCATCTTCTAAATAACACCAAAAAATACATTTTTTTAAAACAATTGAAAAAGCATCAGAAGTTCCATTTATGTATAAGCATGCCTTCCAAGTGGATAGGTGAAATACTACAACATGACACCTGTATCTTTTTCTTGGAGAAGGGTAATATGTGATTTAGATCTGATTTGATTTGATATTTTTTTTTATTTCATTAGAAGCTCTGTGTTCTTCAGATCATCACTTTTTTTTCAGCGTGAAGGATCTTTGGGAGCTCTAGCTTGAGATGGAAAGTCGCAGCTCACATAATGCACTCAGATACTCTTCATTGTGGGGACACAGAGCGAGGGCTTCCTCGTAGCACTCGATGGCTTTGCGGTGCTCACCGCTCAGTTTGTGAACGAGCCCAAGTGTACCAAAATCTGTGGCGTCTGCTAACCCTCTCTGAATTCTCCATTCCAACATTTTCGTCAGAGCGTTTCTGCACATATATCTTCCATAAGACTCTTTTTCAATTTTCAGCCCTTCTAGGTAATACCTAATGGCTTCAGACTCTGATTTCCTCTGGAAACGCTGAAAATTGCCATAATGGTAGTAGTATGCTTGTTTGTCATCATAGGATAGAATACTTATATTAAACGCTTTCTGAAATGTCTCTTCTGCTTCTCTATACCTGTTTCCTTGCGCATACATGTTTGCTAGGTCCATATGGGCAGAAAAAAAATTTGTCTTTTCGTCAATCGCTATTTTAATATGAAAAATGGCAAGTCGGATGAGCTCCTGCACTTGCTCTCGCGGTGGATATTTTGTAGACCTTTTCAACTGCGACAGCTTTCCTGCGTAGCAAAGTCCCATTTGGTGATGCAAAAAGGCAGATCTTGGGATCACTGCTAGGGCCTTTTTCAAAATCTCCAGTGCTTTGTCCATTTCTCCTTTCCTTCTGTAAAATTTAGCAGCGTATCGCTGGACGTAAGGAAGGTCTGGGTTTATCTGCATCGCTTCTTCAATGTACCTCTCCCCTGCCTCCACTTTCTTCAGCTCCTGAAGTTTTAACCCAAGTAATACCATGATGAAAGTGTTCTCTGGATTCAGTTCCATTGCACGCTTCAGGGGCTGCAGGGCTGGGCTTATGTCTTCGCATCGTCTGTGAGAGAAAACCTCCAAACGGTACATGACTATTGCGTAGCCGGCGTTAAATCGGGGGTTATCGGGTTCTTCCCTCAGAGCAGTTTCAAAGCAATCCTTTGCTCTCGGGTAGTATTTTTCCCCAAACTTTAACAAAGCCCATCCTTGCTCAGCCCAGATCTCTGGAAGCCGAATCTTCCCTTGAGCAGCACTTGAAAGCTTTTTGCAGCTGTTTTCCACTTTGCTGACATAAGCCTGAGCTTCTTCGTATCTCTTCATGTGGTAATAGATCCAGGCGTAGTTCCCCCAGGTAACAAGAATTCTCCAGTCCATTTCATCTGAAGGATTTTTTTGAGCTGCTTCTTCAGCTTTTTGGAGATTTCTCAGGGCTTCCTCATTTGAATCCTTCAGGTGGCACACATAGGAGAGTAGATTATAGTTTGTGATGTTGGATTCTGCGAAGAACTCGATCTGATCACCTGTTGTTTCTTCAAGGTGATGGAGATCCACATCCTGCTTCAGCAAAGTCCATGTGAAATGACATTCTAGCTTCAGCAGGGAGCTCTTCAAGGAGTTCATGGAAATGGTACTATAAGAAATCAAAGAAAAACGTACTTATGCTCACTTATACTCCATTGGCCTTTTGCTACTCTTGTTTTTAAACCAGGCTTCAAGAGAAGGCGATACCTCACCTGGTGCCACCAGTCAACAATATCTCAAAAGCCAAAGCTCTTGTGGGAAGCCATTGGTCTGAGGAGCTGAATAGTTATTCTGGTAACTCTCCTCACCGGTGTGTGAGGGCAGCTTTCACACAGCAGCAGTGTCAAAGGAGAGGGTGGGTCTCTGGGGCCAAGTTCCTCTGGGGCTCAGGAACCTACTTTCTACTCTGGTGACAGCTGCTGAAGCCTACCCAACAGAGGTAACTGAGTAACAGAGCTCCCCCCAGAAAACAAAAGAAAGTGACATAGCGCCTTTCCCACGTCTCTGAGTATTTTATGGTTTTGATTATATAAGTTTCATTTGGCATTTCCTGTGTTTGTAAATCCTTGTTCCGAGTATTTTATGGTTTTGATTATAAGTTTCATTTTGCATTTCCTGTGTTTGTAAATCCTTGTTCCGAGTATTTTATGGTTTTGATTATAAGTTTCATTTTGCATTTCCTGTGTTTGTAAATCCTTGTTCCGAGTATTTTATGGTTTTGATTATAAGTTTCATTTTGCATTTCCTGTGTTTGTAAATCCTTGTTCGATAGATCGTGGTGCCTTGTTTATGATTATACCAATGCATCCCTCGTTTCCCTGCCTTTGCTCCCCTCCCCAGACATCCCAGAACGTCTCCTGCCATCCCCAAATGCTTTTCCCTGCATCCCGTGAGGTGTCCCGTATCCCTAGGCAGGGATCCCTACCCCCGTGGGGATAGGCTCTGGGGCAGTGGGGAAAGTGACACTGAGTACACGTTTCCACCCAAACCACCTGCCACAGAGGCACTGGAGGAAGGTCAGGCAAAAATGGTATTTAGAAGTGCTGTTAATGCATAAGTTGGTCATACAGAATTCTTTGCCTTTCTCAAGTAACCTCCTCTGCCCAACTGGTGTTCTGGATGGTATTAACAGCAGTTCCCCATTAGAAAGCTGTATCTGAGGTAACTACATTTCTTCTGGGATGAAGGGGAAGCGAGAGCAAGTGCCTGTTATTATCACTATTTATTAGAAACCTTTGGCTGCAGGTGAGTATCACAGAACAGAGTCTGGCTCCCAACTCTGCAGGAATAGCTTGGGACATTTCAGTGGTCCCTTCAATTCAAAATGAAACGTGGGTGGTTTTTTTTATTGCCTCAGCTGAGAACCACGGCAACAGCGGAGAGGAAAAGACAGTTGTGGAAAATGAATATTCATGAATGTCACAGAACCAGGTTTGTGATGCAGACTGTCACCTCTGCTCACAGACACTGGCCCTTGTCGGAGAAGCAACAACAGTACAGTATTCAATAGTACCTGTATTTTATTTTGATTCTCCTAGCAAACATCCTCTAAAATATTGTCTGCTGTTTGGATCCCCAAAGTCCCTAATTATTGACTTTTATGTAAATACATTTACATTGTATAAACAATAATCTTTATTTACATTATAAGCATACATTTATAATATGTAAACAATAAGCATTATTTACATCATAAGCATAAATTTAATTTATGTAAATGGTAAGCATTATTTTCCCTTGACAACGCAAAAAAGCATCTTTCAGAGACTGAGTTGCTCTTACCTCATGGTTTCCCTTCCCAGCTCACTTGGCTTAGGGGAGTTTGGAAGCCCAAGGACTGCTGCTCACCCTTGTGATGGGCTTTTATGTGCTCCAGCTCCGACGTCATCTGTGAGAAACATCACAGGAACCAGAAAGTGAAACTTCAGCTGAGGCTCCATCTGCAGCAGCAGCCGCCGCCGAGAGGGGAATAGAAACCTCTGCGTCACTAAACTTGCTGTTTTTTCTCCCAGCCTGGCTCTGTGCCACACGTTGTGTTGTGTTGTGGGGAATGTGGCAGCAGCTCCCAGGAGCTTTTGCTCTGCTCGAATCCAGAGGCATCTACCATAAGGAGAATATGTTGGGCTGCCCCAGTTATCGTGCACGGGCCAGGGAGGAGTCATTTCCCCCTCCTGCCTCCGCTGAAAGTCCTCGTGCAGTTTCACGCCGTGCTCCAGGCTCCTGTTTTATTGATATTGTGTCATCCACCTAAAGCTCCTTCACCCCCTGTCTCCGCACCCTGGGGGCCCTGCTGTTGTTCCAGCCCTGCCAGGAACAACCCTCTCTTGCTGTTTTCTCTGTGAAACTGCAGTTGGATTCCGCAAGGATAAACGAAAGTAAAACAGCCAGGATTTTTCCAGCCTTGGCAGACGCTCAGAAGCATGGCCCTGCATGAGCCATTCTGTCATTTTGTGATTCTGTGATATTTTGAACTCACAGTACACTTGGAAACTTAATTTTCATTAAGTATAATGTTTGGTGCTTACTGGGCTTACTCTGCACAGATAGTTCTTGGGTTTAATACACCAAATGTCTTTATTACAGGATACGGTATGAACATCTGAAATGGGGACACAGGGACATTTTTATCCAGCCTAAACCAAAATGTGTTTTTAGTGCTTCAAGAATTTTTAAAATTCTTGAAAAGTTGATTGTTTAATTCCTATTTTTGTTGCAGTTACACTATTACTTAGCCTCCTAAAAACTGTTTTGACCGTCATATACTTGATATAAGCCTAACCTAGCCCTTTTTCTTTTGAGATGCATACCAAGGGTATTGCTAAATCTGACAGCAAAGAATAGTCATTAGTGAGAATTGTGACAGTTATTGTGATGGGAGTGCCCATCCTTTCAGTGTGGTCCAAATCTATTTACAAAATCACATGTAGATTAGAATGAGTATTTTTCTAATCTATGGAGACAGTCAGTTTGAGGAACCGCTGTGGCGGTTTATGTTTATGTTTATAATGTTTATTATGCTACAAGTGCCTATGGGTTTCTCATCTCGTTTCTGCTCCTGGCCATGTTCAGAAATAGGGAATGGCTTCAAAAGGAGCTACACATTTTAGGGAGAAACCTCGCTGACAAAGAATTCTCCCCTGCTATTGTCAGCCCAGCCAAACAATTGCCCAAAATGCAGTTTTCAGTATTAAAATAATACAAATGGACTGCACCATAGTAAATGACAGCACCACTTTAAATATCCCATTTTGTGCTGGTTCCAGTTTAGCGTGGTTTAGCCTGGAATTGCTGTGTCTGACAGCAGCAGGTGTGGCATTTTATAACTTGGGGTTTCCTCCAGGGGGGAAGAGCACCTTGTAATTAATTTGACAGAAAGCCCAAGTGAATCACTGAGCAATAGTTTTGCTACCCGAGTTCTTTAAAACCAAATAACCCTAAAGCACAGGACCCAGGAGCGCAGAGGGTAGCGCAGTGTCGCCTGCGTGGAGTGGTGTGTCCTGTGAAAACTCCAGTGATTTTTCAATTAAAATCTGTAAACACTTTCTAAACAAACAGAAAGGTTTCTGTTCTTGCCACGCTCCTTGACCACTGTGTATCTTGTATCAGGTGTCTGTGTTCTGCTGAAGATATTGCCATGGACCTGGGACTTGGTGATGTGAATATTTGTATTATGGGATTGGATGTGGTCTGAGTTTTCGCAAGTGGGGCCACGCGTCCCCGACCACAGGCACGCTTCTCCGGGAAATTAGACATGCAGGGCAGTGCCAGTTAGTTACCTCAGAGCATGGACTGTGCCCAGCTCTGGAGTCCCCAACAGCAGAAGGACATGGAGCTGTTGGAGTCATAGAATCATAGAGTTGTCCAGGCCGGAAGGGACCTCCAAAGGTCATCTCCTCCGACCTCCCCGCAGTCAGCAGGGACCCCCCCAACTAGACCAGGTTGCCCAGGGCCCCGTCGAGCCTCGCCTTGAATATCTCCAGGGAAGGGGCCTCAACCACCTCCCTGGGCAACCTGTTCCAGTGCTCCACCACCCTCACAGTGAAGAACCCTCTCCTAATCTCCAATCTAAATCTGCTCCCCTCCAGTTTAAAGCCATTGTCCCTCATCCTGTCACTGCAGGCCTTTGTAAACAGGCTCTCCCCCTGTCCTCTCCTGTGAGGACAGGCTGAGAGAATTGGGGGGGTTCAGCCTGGAGAAGAGAAGGCTCCTGGGAGACCTTAGAGCCCCTTCCAGTCCTTCAAGGGGCTCCAGGAAAGCTGGAGAGGGATCAGGGAGGGGAGCCATAGGATGAGGGGGGGGTTTGACACTGAACCAGGGGAGATGGAGATGAGATGTGGGGAAGAACTTCTTTGCTGTGAGGTGGTGAGAGCCTGGCCCAGGTTGCCCAGAGAAGCTGTAGCTGCCCCATCCCTGGAGGGGTTCAAGGCCAGGTTGGAGGGGGCTTGGAGCAACCTGTTGTGGTGGGAGGTGTCCCTGCCCAGGGCAGGGGGTGGCACTGGGGGGGCTTTAAGACAGAACAGGTTTGCAGGCAGCTCTGATGCCCACCCTGCTGGAACTGCAGCGCGTTGGTATCAGATCCGATGTATTTGGGCCATACCCAGGGCGGAGGGCAGCCCCCGCACCGGGCCCGTCCTTCCCGAGGAGCCAGGGCCGGGCGTCCCCGGGGCTGCTCCCGCTGCCGGCCGAGGCGGTGGCGGGACCGGCCTCACCCCCTCCCCGCAGACGGGCGGCGGGACCGGGGCCGGGCACAAAACCCACCCTGGCGGAGCGGCCCTACGGAGAATCGCTGAATCACGCCGGCTCGGGCGGCCCAAGGCCCGCGGCGGGGCCGGGGAGGGGAGGGGGAAACCGGCGATAAGGGGCTGGGCGGCCACCGCCCCCCGGGCCGGGCGGGCCTCGCCGCCGATAGGCCGCGCCGGATGGTCTGAGGGGCGCCGCCGGCCCAGCGCCCTCCTCCCGCCGCCGAACGGAGCTCTCCCGGCGCGGCGGCGGCAGTGGCTCCCTCAGGGAGGGCGGGCCCGTCCGTCCCTCTCTCCGTCCGTCCCGCCGCCGGGTGGGGCTGGGCCGGGCCGCCCCCAGCGCCAAGGGCCGCGGGGACACACCCCGGCCGCGCTCCCTTCCCTCACAGGCTGCGCCCCGCGGCTGCCTCCCCGCCGCTGACAGGACGGCGGCCACCGCCTCCCTCCTCGCCCTGTCAGCCCTCACTGACGGCCGGCGGAGGCGGCTTGTTAAGCCGGGGTTCGGCTCCGCCGCGGCCTCTCCACCTCGCAGGGCCCAGGATGCGGGGCCTGGTGGCGGCCGCTCTCCTGCTGCTGCTGAGCGGCGCCGGTGCGGGCGCCTTCGCCGGCGGGAGGAGGAATGTGGACCCCGAAACGAACATGAACATCGTGAGTGGCGCGGCGGGGACGGAGGGAGGGAGAGAGAGGTGCCCGGGGATGTCACCGGGGCCGTAACGGGATGAGGAGGGGAGCGGAGGGGCCCAGGCCGCCCCTCTCCGGCTCCGCGGGCCCGGCCCGGTGCCCCCCGCAGCCGCCGGGGGAGCCCCTGGAGGCTCCGGGCTCTGCCCGCTCCTCCTCTCGGTTCCTTCTCCGTCCCCTGGTGCTGGCGGCTCATCTCCCTCACGGGTTTTCTGAGCCAGACCGGGTGCTTTTTTGCTGTTTGTGGCTGTTTTTGGCTATTCCTTCCTAAGCGCTAGGAGAGAGGGTGCTCCCGGAGCGCCCCGGTGCTGCCGGAGGATGCTCCCGCCCGCAGCCGCGCTCCTTCCCCTTCGGCGTTTACTCGCTTCACTTTATTCTCCTTCTGCCACAACAGCCACCCCAGGAGCTCTTTGCTATCGGTAACCGCTATCAGTTCCTCTTTCTTCTGTCTCATCCAAACCGGGCCATGTATTTCACATGTGCGAGAAGGTATTTCGCCCTGGAAATGCTTAAAGTCTGTAAGAAAATAAACACTCGAGTCAGCAGTATCCTCTAAATACCATTTCGAGGGCTGAATGTAGTCATTTGGTCTGAGGCTAATAGCATTTGAATGGAATTTAGTCTTCAGATCGTTGTGGAATGTTAATGTTGCTGCGGGTGATTAAAGATATATTTAAAAGGAATAGATTGTTTAATGAAATGCTCCTTCTCTTCCTTGCCCAGCAGCTGCAGAGTAGAACTCCCACGCTGTCTTCCAGTGCTTACATTTTCTCATTTTATGACTCTAAGTCACAGTTGGTGTCATAAAACCAATGAAACAGCCGGTTCTCTGTCCTGGTGGAGTTATATAAATTGAAAATAAGATGAAGCCCAAGCTGTAGGAGATGGGAGATAAACCTATTAATGAAATCATAGTATAAACAAGTGTGGGTTTTTTTTAATTATTATTTTCTTGTTTGGCTTGTCAACGAAGTCACTTAAAAGCTGTGCAGCAGAATAAGGTTTGAGGAGAAGGGTGAGTAAGAAGTGGCCCATGAACTATGAGCCAGGGTGACAATGTCAGCAGCTCGCACAGGTGAAGAGTGGGACCTTGGGGTCTGAAAGCTGCTGAGTACGTGGTTCGTTTCAGCACATCACCTAAACGTTGTGTCCTCTGTATAATGGAGAATTCGGCGTGAAGTTAGGATATGAATCTGAAATGTTTTTAAAGAAGCCTTCCCCTTCAGGAGAGATGAGCTTTTCCCTCCTCCTCTTCTGCTGTGGCACCAGTGGCTTTCTGCTGTCCTTGCTTGTTGCTGGAAGGTGCTGCTTTCCTGGAGAGCAGACAGCACTTTGGGTGTTTCTCTGCCAAATCTGTGTCTGGGTGTTTTGCCCTGTTACTGTAATCTCCTTTCCACCACTTCAGTCCCTTTCTCACCATCAGTGGGGCACGAGTAACTTGGGAAGGATCCCCGCGTACTCGGCGGGTGTTCCTGACGGGAGGAGGCTGGCACTCTGACTCCAAGGCGGTTCCTTTTCTTCCTCCAGAGTCAAATTATTACCTTCAGGGGATACCCGAGTGAGGAGTACGAGGTGACGACAGAGGACGGGTATATCCTTTCCGTGAACAGAATTCCTTACGGAAGAAGAGGCCCTGGGAGGAGCAAAGGTAAGATTTATGGCTGCTTGGAAAAATGGGAAGTCGTGAAAAATCTTCTCTTTGATTTATAAAGCTTTTGCTCCTGTCATAATCCAGGAAAGGGTTAAAGACTGCATGACCTATGCAATTAGAATGTCTTATTGATGAATGTTTTGGCCAAAATAGATTAGGTTTGTGTAGGGCAACTTGAGCAAAGGAAGGGAGGAGGAGTTAGAAAGCTCTGTTTCCCTGCCCTTGCTTTTTTGTGGCATTAATACAAGGCCTTCAGTGTTGTTTGCTTTTTTTGAGGGGTTTAGAGGCCTGGATTCTCTAGGAAGTGGAAAATAAGGGTTGAGATTTGTTGTGTTTTTTTTTTTTATAATAAAATCCCCTGAAAAGAGATTGATTGTCACGTTGGGTTATTTCAACCCCCATTTTAAAAAATGCTTCTTTATAGCAAATAAGCTTGTTAAAAATGCCTGACCATTTTCAGAAGTAGGGGCAGTTCACATCCCTCTTCTGGTGAAATAGAACTAAATTACATGAGTTCCCACTATAGTGTTCACAAAATAATTACTGCCTGATTTCTGCATAAAACAAGAATTAGTTTTAACCCCTCTTCAATGAGGTACAAGCCAGGCCAATAGTGCATAATGCTGGGCTCTCATATTTTACTGCTTAAATAGGTAAAATAATATAGTAAGGTAAAATCCCTTCAGAACTTCTTGAGTACAATACATTTAAAATATATTGGGGCATTCAGGTGAGGAGGTGGTGAGAGGAAGGGGAGGGGGAACATGAGGTGAAATTAAGGGAGCAGTATGGGCAAAGGAGGTTTTTGCCAGGACTGGGTGATGCAGGGCTTTAAAAACGAGACAGGTGTGTGTGGGAGAGGAGAGACAGAGGCTTTGACTTGCTGTCCTTGTGCATTGCATGTGGAATTAACGGTGTGTTTGAGCAGCAACGGCTGAATTTGGTACCAGTCACACCTGGGAGGTGCCTCTGGACTTAAAAAAATTTCGGAGAAGCCCCCAGGAAAAGGGCAGGCTGCCCTTGTACCTGTTGATTTTGTCCAGTCCTTCATGGATGACATAAGCAAACACAGGTTTCCTGAGCTGGGGGAATTCTCTGCATTCCCCTTCGCCACACCCTCGACCCCAAGTTCATGTTTGGCAAAGCGCTTTGATTTTAAAAACAGGGATTAGTGGGCACACTTGGGGAAGTATGATCTCCTGGAAGAATGAAGATTTCAAAGTTCATGTTGATCTTAAGTTTTTATAGACTTGGTATCTTTTCTCAGCGAGATACCAACGCTGTGTCACTGCTGACTTAGCGTATATATGCCATAACTCTGCTTTTGCAATGCCTGCACAATGTGAACAGGATCCCTTGGAATTATGTAGCACATGATGTTTTGGAACAAAACCTACAGTTCTTCAGCTGAAAAAAAAAAGGGGAGGGGGGGAGGAAAATATCCAGAGAACATCAATGATTTTTGGTTTTAGTATTAACTAAAAATCTAACCCAACTTCCATGGCATGGAAGCCCTCCTTGGGGGTGCAGTGGAGAGAGCAAAATGTTCTCTATCAGAAAGGGTAGTTTAAGGACCTGCCTTTCTTATTTATTTCTCTGGGGTTTTTAGGATCAGGGGTTATAAAAAATTATTATTGTCCAAGTCAGTTTGTCGCAGGATTGTGCAATTCATGTGCAGATCTGGTGACTGCTTGGTGAAGTGAAAAAAGGAAGGAACTGGCAGAAAGTGGAGGCTGATAGGGGAACAGAATGAAAGCATTAAAGCAGTTAATCAGTTTTCCCCTCCCCGTGTTATGAAACATGCAAGTCACAGCTTGAGGAGAGCCTCTTCTTCAAAAAAAAACAAAACAGAAGTTGCATGATCTGAGGTTAGTAAAAGGGAAGAAGGTATCAAAGCTGAAAGTGAACACTGCTGAAAACAAATTTAGTGTTAGGCTTGAAAATGCAGTTCAGGTGGCGATGAAGTATTACTGCAGCGGAATAAAGAGTGGTTTGCTCTGATTGCAGGGACAGTGTGCCACAATGTGGGTTTTTAACAAAATGGGTAAAGCAGGCACTGAAAAAGTTCCTCATCACAAGTATGAAGGTTGCCTGGAGGGAGGAATATTGCTAATTTGGGTGTTGGAACTCACAGAAGACATCTCTGGCCGTGACCCGGAGTGGAGGGTGTAGGTGACTGAGGGTTGTGATTTGGCTGTTTCTGCTGAAAGATCCAAGTCTCTAAATTACCAATGGAGGAAGTATTGCATGAGGTTAACACTGTGGTGGAAGGGTGTGTCATCAGAGGAGGTGAATTCCTGAGTTATCTCTGGTGTTGAGCTAAACTTACCACGTTATCAGATTTCAGTTATTAAAGCAAAAAAAAAAACACCCAAACCCCAAGCACCTGGGCTACTCTGGGATCCAAGGGACAAGTCTGGGGATTTTCTGAAGGTCATGTTCCTCCTAAAGGATGATACATTGATTTATTTCCTTTCTGTGGAAGCAGAAACCTTCAATTTTTTTAAATCTGCATTTTACCTAAAGGGGTGGTTTTCCTTTTCAGAATGGGGAAGTCAGGAGAGGAGCTTCCTAAATCCCACCTGGGTCTTGACTGTGGCTCTTTTAACTACTTAAGTCAAGAGGAGAAAGTCCTTGGAAAAACAGATTCCCCCCTGGCTGCCTGTACAGCTCTTCAGATGCTGCCAGAGCCTCGGGGGTGGAAGGGAGATAATATCAGTATCAGGTGCAGAGATTTCCAATCCTGGTTTGGGATTGTCTTAATTGGAGAAGAGAAATGTCAGTGGCATATAAATGGGAATTGATGTGGGGAGGGCAAGGCCTGTAATTAGTTTATCTGTCTCTGTGCTTGGACCACTTTGCTGAGTATTTTTGGCCTTGAAGCAGTTGTAAGGGCTGCCTGTACTTTTCCTGTGTTTTTTTCATGTGTGCTTATTGCACGTTTGCTGTCAGTTTTGACCTTTAAGGAGTCTCTTGCCCTAGTTTGGAAACAAACAAGTTGCTACTTTAAAATTCCTAATGGTAAAAAGTTGTTTTTTTTGTGAAAATGTGATTTCACGGCAGTGTGAATATTATACAAGCTGCTAATTTCAGGAGATCAGGTAAAGTAGATTAAATATTCAAAGTGCCAACGTAAAGCAGACTTTCAGTAACTACTGACTCTAATGATTGAGTTCCAAATGAGCAGGGAGCTGTGATAATGCTGTGTTGTTGCAGGCCCGAGGCCTGCCGTGTTCCTGCAGCACGGTTTGCTCGCCGATGCCAGCAACTGGATCACAAACCTGGATTACAACAGCCTGGGCTTCATGCTGGCGGACGCCGGCTACGACGTGTGGCTGGGCAACAGCAGAGGGAACACCTGGTCCAGGAAACACACCCATTTCACCGTGAAGCAAGAAGAATTCTGGCTTTTCAGGTATCCTCCTCTTGTGAGAGAAATTACAGATACCACACGCGCTTCTTGCCCGTGTTGCCCGTCGTCTCTGGGGACCTACAAGATATTTTCCTTCTGGTTCCACGTGCTGTCACATACATAGGGACAGTAAAGGGGGGTTTTATGGTCAGTATGGTGTCCTGTTTTCTTTATATCCTGATCCACCATGCAAAAAAGCTGTGTGCAGCTGTTCCACACTGATAACCTCACTCACACAAAGGACTCGTTATCTTTGCTTTTGTAGCTTTGATGAAATGGCCAAGTACGACATTCCAGCCTCGGTGGACTTTATTTTGAAGAAGACAGGCCAGGAACAAGTATATTACATTGGCCACTCACAGGGCACCACAATGGGTACGTGAAGAATATATTTGTCAGAATATACATATTTATGTATTTGTTAGAATATATTGTGTTTGAAATGATACCAAGTTCCACGTATGGGGTTTAATGACAAAAAGATGGTGTTTTTGAAATCTTCTGCTTTTGGTTTTTAGCTGCTTCTCTGGAATATTCATCAACATTAAAAAGAAAACACTTAACCTTTCTGTGTTTACTTAAAGTGGGAAGCTGTTGGAATGATAAATTGTAGTGGCAGGTACCCACCAGTACAGTTTCTATTAAAGTGTATCGATGAACTCTGCGTAATAAAATCATCAGACATGTAGAATAAAGATTCCTATTTCCAGCATATTTTGCTGTGTGTAGGAGCTGCTGCAGGTGCTTTTAGACCTGTAGATAGAAGGAGCTGGAAGTGTTGGGTTAGTTAGCAAAAACTTTTTTTTGAGAAAAGACCAAATCCTTCTGATTTGTCTCATTTAATTTGTGTTTCGTAGTAACTAGATTAATTTAAAATATCTAAACTGATCCTAGAGACAACAATCAAACTATTCATCTAAAAATACTTGTGCACACTCAACATATCTTAGATTTAATAGAATCACTGCTGGGTAAAATTCTCCTTAACTTGTGTCAGTGAGATTTGTTAATTACTCTCATATTATTTACAGCTTTCGTTGCTTTTTCAACTTTGCCACAGCTGGCTAAGAAAATCAAAATGTTCTTTGCCTTGGCACCAGTAGCTACAGTCAAGTTTGCCACCAGCCCTCTTGTAAAACTGGGAGTGTTTCCTGACCTGCTACTCAAGGTTTGTATTTGAGTGGAAATGTTTTGGGCCAAATGAGGGTTTTTCAACCCTTTCTAATTGAAAACAGCAGAGCAGAGAAGGTGAATAGCTGTGATTAGCTGAATGTGTTTGACAAGAACTGCTGGGCTGGTTTTTCCATAATAATGCAGTAAGCAGCGGGCTTTTCTGGTTTTATGGCTATTTAATGAGGCAATTTGCATCAGTTTAAAGCAGTATTTTACAATTACAACTTAATAGATGGAAGAAAATTATGTTTTCCCATGTACATGTTTCTAGAATTTGAGCTACAGGAATCACATGGTGGATTCAATGGTTGGTCTGTTTTAGCAGAGCCATGTGATGGCTTTATACGGAGTACTTTGGAGTTGTGAACTTTAACAGATTTGTTTCACAATTAACCAGTTAGTCTTAGAAGAGGATCCTGCAGGGGGTGATTAAGAGCAGCAGCTTTATTTAGCTGCAGTGACTCATGCTCTGGAGGAGTTTACCTTTCCCCGGGAACAGAGGGAGTGTGACATTGTGGACACCCTCCTCTCTCTCATTTTTAACCATCCCTTTCCTTTCCACCGCTCCTGGAGATTCCCACCCAGGGCTGTTTGTCCTGAGATAAACCCTTCTCTGGCCTACCAGTCTCTTTGCAGTATTAGGTCTCTGCTCCAAAGGCAGTTACACAAAGCTGTGCTCACAATTTGGGTCTCCCATCCCTTGCCTAACGAGCTTTGTCTAACGAGAGTAGCAGCTGCTCCATGCCCTGGGCAGATGTTCTCGTGGTGCTGAGGAACTCAGTTCTCATGGTGACTTGCAGAAAAGTGGAGTGGGGAAGTACAAGGAGGTGACAAACGCGGGGATCAGGCATGTCTCTGAAGAGCTGGGTCACTTTTGGGGAAGTTCTCAGGGGGCCATTTCCAAATCCTTGGGTGTTTTAAAAATACCCATGGAGAGGAAGTGGCCGTTGCAGCTCACGCAGCTGGATCTTCTTCCATGGTGTGAAGGGAGGGAGTTGCAGGTACAAGACCATTTAATGTGAGCAGGTGCAGCTTAAAATACTCCAGCCTTAAACAGTTCAGATGACAAGAAACCGTGTAGTACTCCTGTTAAAATAGTGAATTTAAAAGGGATTAGAATTTGGGGTGAGGTTTTGAATTCTTTAATGATGGTCCCAGTTGCCATGTGATCTTTGTGGGGGTGATGGCCGCACCGTTTCAAGCAGCAGCACTAACCATGGCCTTCTCCTTGGCCTGTAAACAAGATACATCATTTTTGTGTGACACTCCTGTCACCAGTGCAAATGCAAAGAATGACTTCAATAATGTTGCAGTATAAAAAAAACTAAACCCGGGTGGTTCTATGTAATGACGTGTTTGTTGTTTTGCAGGACATGTTTGGGAAGAAACAATTCCTCCCTCAGAATTACTTGCTGAAGTGGCTTGCGACCCACGTTTGCACCCACAGAATACTTGATGACCTTTGTGGCAACATATTCTTTCTTCTCTGTGGCTTTAATGAGAGAAACTTGAATATGGTATGTTTTGGTGACTTCTCATAGCTGAGTTATTTTCTCCTCTAGCGCACTATGGCCTGTGTATCGCTGCACTGATGGGCCTTTTTGTGTAATGAGAAACAACACTGCCTTCATCATACTGAGTTTGGATTAATCTTTCCTCGGTATGGATGTAGTTTCCCAGCTTGGATGGATAGGATTAACCTTTTAAAATGTTATTGGAAAGCTAAAATAGATTATTTTAGATCTGCTGGGGAAGTGGGTAAGAGAAGTGAATTAATACAATGGTGCATGTATTTAATTCCTTGTACAACGAGGTGAAGACTAAAGATACAACAGTGGACATGTGCAGCTACTTCCTCTGGGACTGATTTCGGAGCCTGCTGATGGCTTCATCTCTGGTTCTGGGTCCAAAGGGCTTGTTCGTAGGATGTGGTTTGTTTTCTAAAAGGTGGTTACCAGCAGCTGGCCTGAGACTGCCTTTTTCATAATGCTTCTTAAAGTGAAGAATAAAGATTTCCTTCTTTATTTAGTAAACTCCCTGAACTGTGTAGAAGCTGGTATCAGTTTACCCACAGGTGGATGGAGGCTGAGGATTTTATTATTGGAGTGACAGAGAATTAGCATTATTTTTTTCACCAACCTGTGTGCACAAGTGTACATTTTTTTTGTATTTTATATCAAGGTGAAAATGCAGTTTTCTGATGTTTTCTTGCCCAGGACATGCCATTTTCATGGTTTTAAAAGGGATTTAGGTTTGTGCTGGGTATTTTGTACTTCTAAACTCAAGGTGTATGAAATTCAGAGTCACTTTGGCCCGACAGCTGCTGGTTTAGATGTAGAGTAACGTGAGGTTTCTCTGGAGGGCCATCTAAATATGAGTTAACGTGTTCCCAATTCTTAAAATGCTAGCACTTCTAAAAAGATATTCTGAATATATAAAAAATACTTGAGGGATTTCATTATCAAGTTTAAAGCTCAGCTTTAAATTTCTGCAGTTAATTGTAAGTAGTTCCCAAAATGTTTCAACCTTTTACCTCATCTGTATACATGGCTCCAGTTAACTTTTGTTTAGAATGGTTTTAATGGAATTTTTTCTGTTAGTTGTTCAAGAAGCCATAATGGTTGTGCTGGGTAAACCCTGTTAATTCTCTGGTTGCAGAGCCGAGTGGACGTGTATTCAACACACTGCCCCGCGGGGACTTCTGTACAAAACATGATCCACTGGAGCCAGGTAGAGTGTCCACAATCTACCTATGACTCTGTCTTGTTTGGAGAATATCGATGTCTCTGATAATTAAATGGGCTAAAATGCCCAAATCTGGGTGTAGCTCAGCCCAGGTGGAATTCTGGAGCTGCCAGTTGTCAGAACAGCAACTGTTCACTGCGGCTGCTTCGCTGGCGGTGGCTTTGGTGGCTCATCCTCTCCCCTGGGTCTCTGAAGACAGATGAGTGTCCTTCAGGCCAACAGGAGATACAACACAGTAACTTCACTCAGAAATGCTGCAGCGAGTATTTGTTCCCCTTTTGATTACAAGTGATATATTTAGCCTGTGAGAAGCAGCAGGTGTTCTGTTCTGTCCTGTTTGGCTTCATTTTCTATTTTATTAGTGTATTTAGAATTTCACCTCAGTGCAGGATTTCACGCCTGTAATGCCATTGTGCCTGAGGTGTGGTATGTATATAAATGTTATATGAAGCATAGACATTTAGACAGCAAGGTGAATGTCCCAGAAGTTAGCATGGAGCTGCCACATCCTGGCTTTGGGGACACTGAACTGTTTTCCTTAATCTTTCCTGCCATTGCTATGAAGGAGGGTGAAGTCTTAAGGGACAAAGTCTAATGGCAGTGAATGTTAATGTTTCCCACCCCTGTGACACTTGTCCTTGTTAATTTTTGGTATCTCCCCATTTCTTGTGTCGGTTCTCCAGAGGACCTATACTTTTTTTTATTCCTGCAGTAGAAGTGTTGAAGTTCTTCTTTGCATGTGTGAATATTTGTCTTATTTCTAGGCTGTGAAGACTGGGGAACTCAAAGCTTATGACTGGGGAAGCAAGGCTGCGAATATGGCTCACTACAACCAGGTAGACATAGTTTATGGAGATGTTATAATTCTTGAGTGTCTTAAATGTTCTTGGGCACTTCTCTGGGTACTGTGTTTCTGCTGCATCTTAAAGAGTCACTAGTGTTGTCCAGTGACCAGACTGGAGACCTGCCTTTTCAAAAACAAAAAACCAAACCCCAGAAGGGGCCATGGAGCTCTGGAGCAGTCCTTAGTGAGGAGGGTTGGGAGCTGTGGCGGCACACTGCTCCTCAGGGTTGTTCCTCAGGAGGTCCATGAGGTGGCACTCTGCACTTCTCCATTCCATATCACTTGTCCTCAGCCTGTTTCCTCTCCACTTGTGTTGGTTTCTAAGTTGCTGTGTGTGATACTGAAAATATTTTACTGCTTTGTCACTGTACTGCCTGGGAAAGATCTCGGTATCGTACTGTCAGAGTAGCAATCCCTCTGACTATTTGGTTAGGGCTTAGAAATAACCTGAATGGGATGGGTTCTCCAGCTACCTGCTGTCCTCTAAGCCCTGCAAGCCATTTGTCTACTGCTGTGCATGCTGTAATGTTGGAGTAACTCCTGGAGTTACACTTTCTGTGGAGTCAGGGCTCCATCTCCACCTCTGGCTGCCCAAGAGGGGAAGAGAAAATGCGATTCTGGAACATTCTCCTCGCGTGTCACATCACACTGAAGACTTGCTCGTTCTAATGCTTTGGTCTTCCCTTTCCCCCTCCTCAGTCCACTCCCCCCTTCTACAAAATCAAGGCCATGACGGTGCCCACGGCGGTGTGGACGGGTGGACAGGACTGGCTGGCCGACCCCAAGGACGTCGCGATGCTGCTCACCCAGATCACAAACCTGGTCTACCACAAAAACATTCCAGAGTGGGAACATTTGGATTTCATCTGGGGCCTCGATGCACCTTACCGCATGTATAACGAGATAATTAACATGATTAGGAAGTATCTCTAAACCGGCTTAGTATTTCAGAGCATTAGTTCACCAGGAATTAATCTTTTTGGAACACCTGCTTTTCCTGGCCATAACGCTACCTTGCTTATTTATGATGCATTTTTAAAATGCCAGCAGTGACTACTGAATCAGATTCAATGTTTGGTGGGGTTTTTCTCAGTATTATTTCTCACTCCTGCAGCAATCCTCAGTGGATTCCCTGTGGATTTTGCACCCCGTGGGGGGGTACTCAGAACCCAGCAGCGTGGCATGTCGTGGGCACAGAGACTTCCTGACGTGTCTGAAAGACAAGGGGGTCCCTTCAGTGCCCCAGGTGCTTGGCAATTAAACCAGACAGTATTTTTGCTGTGCGTAAACCCCTGTGGTTTCTGAGTACCTGTGGGAAGTGCCCCTCGGCCCGCACTCACCCCTTCGGTGCTGGTACTTTAAAAAGCACTTAGTGGCTTTTTGCTGCCTTGTTGTTATTTTAGCCATTAGTCCAAGCTGGCTTTCTTCGGATGACTCCCTCTTTCAATGCTGCCCAGGAGAGCTGTGGTGAAGCCAGAGAAGGTCACCGCTGTCGGTTGAAATCTCCGATGTTGGGACTGATTCATCCCTGTGTATTTTTTGATTCAACGGTGTCCCTGGAGCCTTCTGTGTTTCACGCCCCAGCTGTGGATGAGGGTTGTTATTTGCCCTCGTGGATTCCTGGAACAGGAGGAGCTCTTCAAAGAAACACCCCTTTCAGGTGGCTTTGTCAGTAGCTTATGGCTTTCGAGGAGAATGATGTCACGGACTCGTGTTTTGTTTCCTTTGCACTGACCAGTAAGGAACGAGCTGCCCCAGTAAACCACTGGCGGGGGAAGAGCCAAAGTGTTAATTCTAGAGCTTGAGTGATTTAATTCCTGTGGGCTTTTCCCCTTAATCACCTGCTGCTTTGGAGCTCTGTTGACTTTTTAGCTGCTTTTACGGTGCTTGTCACCGTCATGTTGGGGAGCCCTGGTGGGGCCTGGCAGTATTAACCACAGTTCCTGTTTCTCTCACTTTTCACACCAAAATGGGGCTAAACCCTGATGTAATGGGGGAGAGGGTTTGCTCTGGGGGCTGTAATGGTCTGTGGTGCCTTGCTCTCCCCACTGAGCGTGCGGAGGGTTTTGGCTGCTCTGGGTTGCAGAGAAGTGCCAAATGCAGGAGCCCTCTCCAGGGCTGGGTGCCTCAGGCCAGGACATGGTTTCTGTCCCGTGCTTGCTGCATTCCACCCAGGCTTCTGGCTGTAATTCCAGCAGGATAAGAAGCCTTTTCTACACGGCATAGAAAATAGCGGGTTTTAAACTGCGGCAAGCTTACTTTTTGGAAAAAAAACAAAATTAAAAAAAAATGGCAAAAAGATGCATAAGCCATAAATGAGGGGTAGTTTGTTTTTTATTCCTAATTCAGACTCAGGGAATCCTCAGGCTTTAAGGAAAAAGGTTGATGATATTTCAGCGAGGACTCCGGGCAGGACCTAGGTTTGCTTTATGCCTGTAGCAGCCGCCTGTGCCTCCCCTTGCTGTGCCAGAAGGGAATTCCTTGGGAATCCAAAGAGGCTCCCTGGGGTGGCGAGGGGCTGGGAGGCAGCAGGGGCCACCTGTGGTGTCTGTGTTAAGCTTGGGATATTGCAATAAAGGTGGGATGAGCTGGGAGATGTGTTGTGTCACACTTCTTGTTTCACGGGCACACATGAGTCTTTGGGACAGAAGCCAGAAAGCTGAGTTTTTCACAATAATTCCTCCATAGAATAAGTACAAGGAACAAGTACAACAGCCAAGTGTGCTTCCAGTTTACTTTTGTCCTGAAAGAGGCTTTTCCTGAGCCTAAAAGGCCGTTGGTGTTGTTTTGGGGGACTTCTCTCAGACTTCTAAATGAGGTCCCAGCTGTAAGTACCTGCTCATGAGACGGAGTCATTTTCTAGGCCTCCAGGTGAGGCTCCTTTCAGACAGTGACAGGGTGGAAAGCTGCTTGTGGCACAGCCTTAAACCGTGGCTAATTGGATTGCTTAACGCACCTCCTGGTAATCTCATGAATAGCGTTTAATTACATGGTGAGGTGGGGAACTAATAATTGCCCGGGTACGTTTGCTGTGATCCCCAGCTTCTGGCCTTTGGTGTCTTCGATAAGAAGTGCTCAGGCGGTACCTTTCTGAGCACAGTAGATGTGTGGGGTGTATAAAACCCTCTGTTTTATCAGCTGATGGACACACACACCCCCACCCCAGCCTGGGAATACAGCCAGAACAGTGGGACCTTCACACAAAGGCTGTTTTGGGGTTTCTCCACTTCCCTGGAGCGGGGGTGGCTCCGGGAGCTGCAGAGCATTTTTACTCCATTCAGTGATTGTGGAGCTGGTGACAACACTGGCAGAGGTTTGCACGGCAACTCAGACAGCAGAGAAGTGCCTCGGCACGGGGAGTGGGGGTGAAACAGCTCCTGTGGGCCCTGCCAGAGAAACAGCTTTCTTGGGAGCAAAATAAGCCACTTTTCTGTCAATTACTCTTTATGGTGAATGTGCCTTACAGAAAAGGTAAACGTGGCTGCCTCAATACCAGGAAAAGTCACAAATGACTCTAACCCAGGAGGTGTGAGAGAGAAACCTTGGTGGAGGAATAGGTTTTATGATAAAACGTGGATCTTTGTGGAAGGTTGTCCTGTAAGGGGAGTGTTTGGAGTGTCTGCTCCCTTTTGGTGCCACAGCACTGCCTGTCCCGGGAGCGCTCAGTACAGCCCCATCCCAGATAACTTTATAGGAACAGAATCCTTCTGCCACGGCTGCCCTGCAGAGAGGATTCATGGAAATCCCCAAGGAAATAAAAACCTCAGAAGGTTGGCTGGACGGTACCACCCCTGTAAGGTGACTTCTTCAGTCCCATTTTTGGAGGACACCGCGGTGCAAAGGGTCTGTGTCACGTTGTGACTCCTCCAGACACGAGCCCTGTGTGTGGCTGTAGGGGATGCAAATCACTCTCTCACTGCAGAATTACAAATTGTGAGTGAGAGAATTTTAGGATCTTTTCCCAGTGGTAATTATTTTGAAAACTGACCCCGATAAGGTAAAGCTTGAGAACTAACAATTTGCTTTGCTGGCAGCTTCCCATCCCCAGCCATTGTCAGGATTCAGGAAAATCCCTTCCATGAGGCTGGAGAGGTTTTTCAGTGGAGCTTGGTTGGGCAGGTGAATATTTTGATTAAGAAATGTGGTTGTTAAGAGAAGTGGTTTGTGTTGAGGCTAAGGGTTTTCATCAGAACTGAAAGGAATGTGTTCTTCATCCCAGTGTACCCAGCATGGGCTTCGGGCTGCTCCCCTGGGATGTGAAGAGCAGGGGTTCGTGCCCCTCCTTGGGATTCAGATCCTGGGGCTGAGGGGCTGGAGCAGGTACAGAGATGGAAACGGAGCTGGGGAGGGGTCTGGAGAACAAGTCTGATGGGGAGCAGCTGAGGGAGCTGGGGGTGTTCAGCCTGGAGAGAAGGAGGCTGAGGGGAGACCTTCTTGCTCTCTCCAACTCCCTGAAAGGAGGGTGTAGCCAGGGGGGGTCGGTCTCTTCTCCCAAGGAACAGGTGATGGGACAAGAGGAAATGGCCTCAAGTTACACCAGGGGAGGTTCAGATTGGAGATTGGGAACAATTTCTTCACTGAAAGGGTTGTCAAGCCTTGGGAGAGGCTGCCCAGGGCAGTGGTGGAGTCCCCATCCCTGGAGGGGTTTCCAAGCCGGGCAGACGTGGTGCTGAGGGACGTGGGTGGGTTTGTCAGCGTTGGGGTGGGTGATGGTTGGGCTGGATGATCTGAAAGGTCCCTCCCAGGCTGGGCGATTCCGTGATCTCTGACCTGATCCCCAGTAACCGCGCAGAGGGAGACCCCGGGTGAAAAGACGTGAAAAGACCCAAACCTGCCTCTTTCCCCCCCAGTCCTGTATCTCGCTATCCCCCGGCGTTGCACCGCCCGAGCAATAACCCTCAGAGCCGCAGGGTTAACAAACCCCTCGGGGGGGGCGCAGCCTGCGCTGGGGGGGCTGTTTCCCGCGGAGCGGAGCCGCCGGCAGGGGGCGTAAGGAGCCCGCGCAGATCCGCACCCGCGGAGCGGGGTGTCCGCCTCCTGCCGCCCCGGGTGAGCCCTGGAGGAGGTGAGTCGGGATGGGAGCACCCCCCATTTAGTGTGATGTTTTTGATTTTTTTTTTCTTTCCCTAGCGTAATAATTTAATTTAAAACGAGAGAAGGGGCTGCCTCCGCCCCCCCCGGCTCTGGCTGCCGTCCCGCTGCAGCCCCGGCCGGGCTCAATCCTGCCCCACCGAGCGGGAGACGAGGAGGAGGTAAAAGGAAACGCCGTCTCTGCTGCTGGGACATTCCTTCCAGCGCGTTCATCCCGGGTTTCCCTCCTGCTAAACTGTCCTCATTTTCCTGCCCGTCCCGTGTTTAGCTCCTGCCTAAGCCCCGCCGCCGGGGGTAGGTGCTGGCGGCTCCTGCTCATGTGGAATCTATTTGAGACCCTTCGCGGGGCCTCCTTCCAAACTATGTGCCCTTCAACCTACGCGCTGTAGCAGGAGGCTTTGGGAGTGTTTTTTGAGAGACCCGTTCAGAGTCTGGTACCGCGGGGGGAGTTTGGCTGAGCGCAGGGGGCTGGGGCTGTGCTGCTGAACTCAGAAAGGATTTGCCTCCGCTTTTGTCTTGGCTTCACTTTGTACCTTGCGCCGACAAAGAAACCCGAGAGGAAGGGGGTGATAAGGGCTTTGTGGGGGCAGAGCCCAACGGCTGGAGCTGGGATTCGGGAGAATCGGGGGTTTCCCTCTGGGATGCCCCAGGATCGGTACCCGGCCGGGGAGAGCCCGCAGAGCCCAGCAGATGGGTGCCACGGCCACCCAGGTAAGTTCTCCTTGCACCTCGCTTTATATTGAGGGATATACCAGTAATACCACTGCAAAATTCCGTTATTTTCCCTTAAGGGACTGAAGAATATTTCTGTGTGATCTAACCTGCAGGCAAGATGCCCGCTCTTTAAATTTTAGCTGGTAGGGCAGCAGTGGTTCTAAAACTCCTCAAGACTTGGGGTGGCTGTTAGGGATTAGTGGGAGCAGTGTCTTAGGGCAGCAGAGCTATTTCTGCCCGTCTCCCCTTAGGCAGATTTGGGGAATGTGCTGGAATAAATGTGGTCCCTACATAATTCTAATAAAATAGAGAATCACGTGTCCCACCTGGGAGGCTTAATTTCTGACCGTAACTCCATAAATCAACAGAAAGCATCTCTCACAAGAATATTTTCTGACCCAGACGTTACTGAGTTACAAATGCATTTTTCATGTCCTCATTGTGAAATGGAGGTCGGGATAAAATGCAACCAGGAGACTGAAATGCAGCTCTTGGATATAGATCCTCGTCCATTAAATTAGTGTCTTGCCGGGTTTTAGTTTCTCTGCGTTTGACAGTCTGAAGTAATTGAGTTCAGCAGAACAGTCTCAGAGCAGCAGAAAATCACAATCTGTCTCTACAATGTCTGTGCCACAGGTGGGTGTGTGAAGGCCATGCCGTACCTGTGCCCAGCAACTGACTCCTGAGTGTCCCCATCACAGCACGGGGGGGTCACTGCTTCACAAACCCCCCCGAGTCTGAGAAGAGAGCAAAATCCACACCTCCTTCAGAGCAGAACCTCTCCAAGAGAAGACAGGTGAGGCTGAAAGCAAACTTAACTGTTAGAAGTCCTTTTCACAATAATTCCTCCATAGAATAAGTACAAGGAACAAGTACAACAGCCAAGTGTGCTTCCAGTTTACTTTTGTCCTGAAAGAGGCTTTTCCTGAGCCTAAAAGGCCGTTGGTGTTGTTTTGGGGGACTTCTCTCAGACTTCTAAACGAGGTCCCAGCTGTAAGTACCTGCTCATGAGACGGAGTCATTTTCTAGGCCTCCAGGTGAGGCTCCTTTCAGACAGTGACAGGGTGGAAAGCTGCTTGTGGCACAGCCTTAAACCGTGGCTAATTGGATTGCTTAACGCACCTCCTGGTAATCTCATGAATAGCGTTTAATTACATGGTGAGGTGGGGAACTAATAATTGCCCGGGTACGTTTGCTGTGATCCCCAGCTTCTGGCCTTTGGTGTCTTCGATAAGAAGTGCTCAGGCGGTACCTTTCTGAGCACAGTAGATGTGTGGGGTGTATAAAACCCTCTGTTTTATCAGCTGATGGACACACACACCCCCACCCCAGCCTGGGAATAAAGCCAGAACAGTGGGACCTTCACACAAAGGCTGTTTTGGGGTTTCTCCACTTCCCTGGAGCGGGGGTGGCTCCGGGAGCTGCAGAGCATTTTTACTCCATTCAGTGATTGTGGAGCTGGTGACAACACTGGCAGAGGTTTGCACGGCAACTCAGACAGCAGAGAAGTGCCTCGGCACGGGGAGTGGGGGTGAAACAGCTCCTGTGGGCCCTGCCAGAGAAACAGCTTTCTTGGGAGCAAAATAAGCCACTTTTCTGTCAATTACTCTTTATGGTGAATGTGCCTTACAGAAAAGGCTGCCTCAATACCAGGAAAAGTCACAAATGACTCTAACCCAGGAGGTGTGAGAGAGAAACCTTGGTGGAGGAATAGGTTTTATGATAAAACATGGATCTTGGTGGAAGGTTTTCCTGTAAGGGCAGCGTTTGGAGTGTCTGCTGCCTTTCGGTGCCACAGCACTGCCTGTCCCGGGAGCGCTCAGTACAGCCCCATCCCAGATAACTTTATAGGAACAGAATCCTTCTGCCACGGCTGCCCTGCAGAGAGGATTCATGGAAATCCCCAAGGAAATAAAAACCTCAGAAGGTTGGCTGGACGGTACCACCCCTGTAAGGTGACTTCTTCAGTCCCATTTTTGGAGGACACCGCGGTGCAAAGGGTCTGTGTCACGTTGTGACTCCTCCAGACACGAGCCCTGTGTGTGGCTGTAGGGGATGCAAATCACTCTCTCACTGCAGAATTACAAATTGTGAGTGAGAGAATTTTAGGATCTTTTCCCAGTGGTAATTATTTTGAAAACTGACCCCGATAAGGTAAAGCTTGAGAACTAACAATTTGCTTTGCTGGCAGCTTCCCATCCCCAGCCATTGTCAGGATTCAGGAAAATCCCTTCCATGAGGCTGGAGAGGTTTTTCAGTGGAGCTTGGTTGGGCAGGTGAATATTTTGATTAAGAAATGTGGTTGTTAAGAGAAGTGGTTTGTGTTGAGGCTAAGGGTTTTCATCAGAACTGAAAGGAATGTGTTCTTCATCCCAGTGTACCCAGCATGGGCTTCGGGCTGCTCCCCTGGGATGTGAAGAGCAGGGGTTCGTGCCCCTCCTTGGGATTCAGATCCTGGGGCTGAGGGGCTGGAGCAGGTACAGAGATGGAAACGGAGCTGGGGAGGGGTCTGGAGAACAAGTCTGATGGGGAGCAGCTGAGGGAGCTGGGGGTGTTCAGCCTGGAGAGAAGGAGGCTGAGGGGAGACCTTCTTGCTCTCTCCAACTCCCTGAAAGGAGGGTGTAGCCAGGGGGGTCGGTCTCTTCTCCCAAGGAACAGGTGATGGGACAAGAGGAAATGGCCTCAAGTTACACCAGGGGAGGTTCAGATTGGAGATTGGGAACAATTTCTTCACTGAAAGGGTTATCAAGCCTTGGGAGAGGCTGCCCAGGGCAGTGGTGGAGTCGCCATCCCTGGAGGGGTTTCCAAACCGGGCAGAGGTGGTGCTGAGGGACATGGGTCAGTGGTGGTTTGGACAGTGCTGGGTTGATGGTTGAAAGGTCCCTTCAGACTTGATGATCTGAAAGGTCCCTCCCAGGCTGGGCGATTCCATGATCTCTGACCTGACCCCCAGTAACCGCGCAGAGGGAGACCCCGGGTGAAAAGACGTGAAAAGACCCAAACCTGCCTCTTTCCCCCCCAGTCCTGTATCTCGCTATCCCCCGGCGTTGCACCGCCCGAGCAATAACCCTCAGAGCCGCAGGGTTAACAAACCCCTCGGGGGGGGCGCAGCCTGCGCTGGGGGGGCTGTTTCCCGCGGAGCGGAGCCGCCGGCAGGGGGCGTAAGGAGCCCGCGCAGATCCGCACCCGCGGAGCGGGGTGTCCGCCTCCTGCCGCCCCGGGTGAGCCCTGGAGGAGGTGAGTCGGGATGGGAGCACCCCCCATTTAGTGTGATGTTTTTGATTTTTTTTTTCTTTCCCTAGCGTAATAATTTAATTTAAAACGAGAGAAGGGGCTGCCTCCGCCCCCCCCGGCTCTGGCTGCCGTCCCGCTGCAGCCCCGGCCGGGCTCAATCCTGCCCCACCGAGCGGGAGACGAGGAGGAGGTAAAAGGAAACGCCGTCTCTGCTGCTGGGACATTCCTTCCAGCGCGTTCATCCCGGGTTTCCCTCCTGCTAAACTGTCCTCATTTTCCTGCCCGTCCCGTGTTTAGCTCCTGCCTAAGCCCCGCCGCCGGGGGTAGGTGCTGGCGGCTCCTGCTCATGTGGAATCTATTTGAGACCCTTCGCGGGGCCTCCTTCCCAACTATGTGCCCTTCAACCTACGCGCTGTAGCAGGAGGCTTTGGGAGTGTTTTTTGAGAGACCCGTTCAGAGTCTGGTACCGCGGGGGGAGTTTGGCTGAGCGCAGGGGGCTGGGGCTGTGCTGCTGAACTCAGAAAGGATTTGCCTCCGCTTTTGTCTTGGCTTCACTTTGTACCTTGCGCCGACAAAGAAACCCGAGAGGAAGGGGGTGATAAGGGCTTTGTGGGGGCAGAGCCCAACGGCTGGAGCTGGGATTCGGGAGAATCGGGGGTTTCCCTCTGGGATGCCCCAGGATCGGTACCCGGCCGGGGAGAGCCCGCAGAGCCCAGCAGATGGGTGCCACGGCCACCCAGGTAAGTTCTCCTTGCACCTCGCTTTATATTGAGGGATATACCAGTAATACCACTGCAAAATTCCGTTATTTTCCCTTAAGGGACTGAAGAATATTTCTGTGTGATCTAACCTGCAGGCAAGATGCCCGCTCTTTAAATTTTAGCTGGTAGGGCAGCAGTGGTTCTAAAACTCCTCAAGACTTGGGGTGGCTGTTAGGGATTAGTGGGAGCAGTGTCTTAGGGCAGCAGAGCTATTTCTGCCCGTCTCCCCTTAGGCAGATTTGGGGAATGTGCTGGAATAAATGTGGTCCCTACATAATTCTAATAAAATAGAGAATCACGTGTCCCACCTGGGAGGCTTAATTTCTGACCGTAACTCCATAAATCAACAGAAAGCATCTCTCAGAAGAATATTTTCTGACCCAGACGTTACTGAGTTACAAATGCATTTTTCATGTCCTCATTGTGAAATGGAGGTCGGGATAAAATGCAACCAGGAGACTGAAATGCAGCTCTTGGATATAGATCCTCGTCCATTAAATTAGTGTCTTGCCGGGTTTTAGTTTCTCTGCGTTTGACAGTCTGAAGTAATTGAGTTCAGCAGAACAGTCTCAGAGCAGCAGAAAATCACAATCTGTCTCTACAATGTCTGTGCCACAGGTGGGTGTGTGAAGGCCATGCCGTACCTGTGCCCAGCAACTGACTCCTGAGTGTCCCCATCACAGCACGGGGGGGTCACTGCTTCACAAACCCCCCCGAGTCTGAGAAGAGAGCAAAATCCACACCTCCTTCAGAGCAGAACCTCTCCAAGAGAAGATAGGTGAGGCTGAAAGCAAACTTAACTGTTAGAAGTCCATGCGTACTTCAGAAAAGGTCACTGCTAATTAATCTTTCTTAATTACCGAGAGGCAAGGAAACTCTGTCTCCCACTTCCCCCCCCATCAGATTGCTTTTCTGAAGAGCAAAGACCTAAAACCGTCTGAACAAGCTCATAAAGGCATCCAGGAAGCTGAGCTCATTTCCAACATTAGACTGAAGGCTGTGCCCACAAAAGAGGTGAGTTCAGAGGAAGCTGATGGAAAGCGCCGTTTCCCTGAACGGTCAGAGCTTTGTCGGTCTCTTTCTAACAGCACAAAAGAGGTGATGCCTTAGTGGTGAAATCAAAGCCACGTCATTTACCCCTAAAACACCTAGAGCAAATGGAAATGCTGGGGGGGAAGCTGCTGGGCTCTGGCTGCTGAGCAGGAGGAGACGGGTGTCTCCAGCAGACCCTGGCATTACGTATGTCAATGTGAGACTGGGAGACAGGAGGATTTCCATCTCGTGTTGCTCCAGGAGCTGCTGAGGTGTGGAGGGAACAGTGTCATAATCACAGAATCTTCTAGGTTGGAAGGGACCTTAAAGATCATCTTGTCCAACCGTCAACCCAACTGACAAAAATGCAGTAACACCTTTCACCAAGTCCCTGTTCGGAAGCACCCTGAGGCTGTACCTTGTGTCCATCCCAGCAGCCGGGGCATAGTTGGGTTCTTCAGAAGTTGTTGGCTCAATTTTGCATCTGGTTGAGGGTTGAGTCAGGTGGATTTTGCCCTGCTGAGAAGCCACAGGAGTGTCAAGGAGACCTGGACCTCAAGGGCAGGTGGAGATAAGTCACCACCGCCGCAGTCAGGCTGGAAATCAGGCTCCCGAGTCAGGTGTCTCCTCAGCCTGTTGCACACCCGAGGGTTCGTTAGGAAACTGTGTGTTTGCACACCCCCCCTGCCCACCCAGCACCCGCGGGTCACCCCTGGGGTTAGGGACACGCACACCTTCGGCAGCAGACAGGGCAAAACACAACGGCATGTTGTATTTCCTTACCTGGGAAGGGAAAAGGGCAACAAACCACACCACGATTTGATGTTAGTGAGAGACAGCAGTTCTTCCAGCGTGTGCAGGTCCTTCACGTGGAGTGGAGGAGGATCCTACCCTCTTTCTCTGCGTTCCTCTGTGTTCCTCTGTGTTTCTCTGCGTTTCTCATTTCTCTCTGCTCATTTTTCCTCCGGTGGAGCCTCCCGGCACCCCGCTAGCCCCGTCAGGAGATGGGGACGCCTCCTCCCCGCGGTGTCCCGCAGGAAAAGGCAGCTTTCTCTTTAACGGCGGCTCTGACTCAGTGAGGAGGGTTTCTGATGGGCGGAGATTTCCGCGGAGCCGGGCTAGATAAAGGCTGGCAGGGTCTGTGCCCGCCGGGAGAGCCAGGGGCACGATGAGCTGCGGGCGGGAGCAGGGAGCGCTGCTGGACTGCGCCATGGACACGGCCGGACGGAGGGACAGGTCGTGTCTCCAGCCCCTCTGGGACCTGGTGGCGGCCAAGGAGCCCTTCCTCAAATCCCCCTTTTTCCCGGTGGTGTTTTCTTTCACGGCGTACATGGCTTTCTGCCTGCCCTACGTCGCGCTGGACATCCTGAGCGCCAGGCTGCCCACCTTGAGGAAATACAAAATCCAGGCGCAGAGCTACCCGACGCTGGGCATGATGGTGCCCTGCATCCTCCAGAGCGCCTACCACCACCTGGTTTTCATCTTCCCAGTGACATTTCTCCACTGGTACTGCAGACCAGTGCATCTGCCGGTGGTGGCTCCCGAGCTGCCCGAGGTGCTGCTGGAGGTGGCGGTTTGCCTGCTCCTCTTTGATCTCCAGTACTTCCTCTGGCATCTGCTGCATCACAAGGTGCCCTGGCTCTACAGGACCTTCCACAAGGTGCACCACAAGCACGTGTCCACCTTTGCTCTCACCACGCAGTACTCCAGCGTCTGGGAATTGCTCTGGCTGGGGTTTTTCGCCGCTGTCAACCCCGTGCTCCTGGGATGCCACCCTCTGACTGAAATGATCTTCTTCCTGGTGAACATCTGGCTGTCGGTGGAGGACCACTCGGGATACGACCTCCCGTGGTCGACTCACCGCCTGGTGCCCTTTGGTTGGTACGGGGGGGCACCACACCATGATCTCCACCACCTGAAGTTCAAATCAAACTACGCCCCTTACTTCACCCACTGGGACAGGCTCTTTGGGACATTCACAGAGTCACACTCCAATTAAAGGTATCTGCCTGGGGACGAACTCTTCTTTGGTTTTTTTTTTTTATACAGACTGAACTAGGACATTAATTTTTCAAAGACCTACAGAAGATTGTATATTTGAAGCTGCCTATAAAAGCCATAGCTATTTATAACAAATCCTCTTAATATATGTGTATTTGTGGGTATACTTGGAACTGCCTGGGTGAAATGTCTGTGCAAGCGGGAGGGTGAATACCTGTTGCTTAAATTTGTTTGAGTCAAAGGTGTCAGGGAAGCATTAGGAGACGTTCTCTCTTCTTTCCCTCTTTCTGGCTTTCATAAAGCATGTATCGTGTCACTGTATGAGGTTTTATACATACGCCAGAACAATTGTCTTACTGTCGTAGGATGATTGATGATGTAAACAGGAAAGGTACACAGCGTGGATTTTTGTGGGGTTTTATTGCACAATGAGGGTGTAAAATATTGCTGCCAAACAAAGCTCGTTGGCTGACTGTGCAATAATTTTTATATTTATATTTTATACCTGGATGTACTATCTGTTTTTGATAGAAAATAAATATGGTCATTCTTTTAAAATTGTGGTCTGTTTCATTTTATTCACTCTTCATCTCAGGAACAGGTATGGTTCCTTTTGGATAGATGTTGTCTATCTGAGTTTCAGACTTTTCTTATTAAAATATTGCCATGTTATTTCAAAAGCGAACCATTTACTTTTTCTCCAGAATAACTGTTTTTAAATAGTTTTCAATTTTGTAGAAACAGAATATTGAAGACTGCAGTTTAAAAAGCCGCGGCGAAATTTTATTATTACATTTGGGAGAAGCTTCAATAATTTTCCCTAGATTTATGATGTGAGAGCAGAACAGTAAGCAGCCCCTTAATAAAAGGGAGCGTTGGTTCCTTCCCCCCCCCCCCATCAATTAATAACAATTATTATTGTTATTACAACTTGCACGCAGAAGCCTGGCAAGGAATATGGAGAGTGTTTCTACAGACCAGACCGTTCCTTCCAGCAGGTTCCAGAGGAGCAGAACCCTACCTTGCAGGATGCTGAAGTGTAGGACAAGGTGGCTCCCTGTGGCTGGAAGAAGGTTCAATGAGTAGGTAACTCATTGCCGTGTGGGCTCACAAAGTCACACTGAAAAACATCAGCACGAAGAGATGGTCAGGTGTCCCGTGTCTCCCCCAGCAGAGACCCATCTGGGCTTCTGGTGGCCACTACAGAAGATCTGGATGCCCACAGTCTTCCAGCCTGTGTTATAATAAACTTCTTGGGGTAGTGGTGGGGAGAGAGAAAGTGCCAATAATTTGTAGAGTGTGTGATGGACCCTTCTGCATCACCACCCAAAAATGTCTTTGTCGTTGTGTTGTGTCAGAGGGTCAGGTGACCTTACAGAGGCTGTTTGCCCAGGGGAAGAGAGAGCCCTCAGTGTTTCCAACAACGGGAGCTTCCAGCGGGGACAGCACTTCTGGACACTGCATCCTTTTGAGAACAGGGGATAATTTTCATAAACATCTTCCTCAACAGTACAAAACGCTGCACTCTTAATCCTTGCTCTGCGGTTAACGCAGAAGAGCAACCCCTCTTGTCCATGGTAAGAAGATGTCACATCCTGAGAGCAAAAATTGAGGCTTAAAAAAATACAAAACTGCATTATTTTTTTTTTGCCATGCATTTATTCAGCTGAAAGAAATAATTCCCAATCTTTCTGATGATTATAATCTTCAGTATTTTGGGGGGTGCTACAAAGAGAAGGAAGTCTGTTGTTGTGTTTTTTTTTTTCTTTCCTACCAGATGCAGGAGGCAAAATGGAGCCTGTGATTTCTGGGAGCTGTTTAGCCAAAGTTTCCCTCTCAGCTCTGGAAATCCCACTGAATTCAGCCTGGCAAATCCTGAGGGGGTGCTCTGTGGTTTCGGTGAGTTAGATCTTTAACTACATATTGTAACTACCCAGGCTAACAGCCTGTTTGGGGGACTGCTGGTCTCTGAGCCAGGGTAAGGCTGACTGGGACTTGGATTTGTTGCTATGAGGAAGCCGGTGAGCAAATCCCACAAGAAAGGTTGTAGCTGAACCCACAGGGATTATCCCACTCTTGTGTGATGCTTAAGAGTTGATATAACAACTGCTTTACTGTTGGAGAGTCATAGCCTGGTTTGGGTTGGAAGGGACATTTAAAGACCATCTGGTCCATCCCCCCTGCCATAAGCAGGGACATCTTCATCTAGACCAGGTCGCTCAAAGCCCAGTCCAACCTGGCCTTGAATTTTTCCAGGGATTCAGATTTCCATCTCCCACCTCTCTGGGCAACCTGGACCAGAAGCTTAGTCAGCTGCAGGCAAAACTACGCTCGCTCTTGTCAAGTCAAGCAGCCAGCCTCAGTTGGCATTGACGGCGTAGGGTAAGAGCGATGAGGGTGATCAACGTGCTGATGGAAGGAGGCAACGATGGTCCTGCCTGCTCCTCGCTGCCTGGCATCCTCGGCCTTCGCAGGGCTTCAGACACACACCAGGAATGCATTTCCTCCCACACGGAATTTCCCCCAGGTTATATCTGAGCTGAACCTCCTGCCAGTCAGGCCTGTAATCGCAGTTTAAGGGCTCGTTAGTGCACAAACATGGCGTACTAAAAAAAAAGAATTAAAAAAAATAATTAGTTGCCATATGAAAATGCGAGTAGCACATGTCCAGAATGGGTTATTTAATTCCATGCTAGAAGTATCTGTATTTCATCATCATGACATCACCCTGGCATCCCTTCTCCCTGTTTCTCCAGTGCTTTGAAGGCAATTTAGCCTCCAAAGCGTGAAACAGTTTGTGTATTAAGGTGCACTTTGAAGCACCTTCTGTAACAGTGCCCTGTAATGTAACTTTAGGTGTATGTATGAGAAAAACTCACAGGAAGAAGACCCAGACAAACACGGGACTTCAGGCCTTTGCAATTTGATGAAAAGCAAAATATAGACACACACAAAAAAATAGACACAAAAAAAATATAGACAAAAGCATAAACCGAAGATAAAGCAAATAAGAGTTGTTTTTGTTCCTGTTTTCATTGAAAGTTCAGCATATACTGTCCTGCTGAGTGTGGGGGAGAGCAGCGAGTTCTCTGTATTGGTGGTGCTGAGATTTTAAAACAGGAGTTTACAGTTGTTAGTTCACACATCTGCATTTCCCCCTGCCCTTCACCACAAGGCTTTACCAGACAGGGGGGTGGCAGGACACTCTTCTAAGTGCCTGTGTCAAAAACCAACCCCAAATTTCTCTGTGTTCTTCCTAAATTCTCCTGGCTTCCTTCCTTGTTATGTTGTGACACGATGTGCTGCACAGACTTCCCAGCTAAGCTGCCAAACGCTCATCTGCTGTCATGTCTGAGTAGAGGATGTTTGCACAGACCTTTGAAGCTATAAAAGGAGACTTTTTTGATGCTGCTGTTGTCCACTTCATATTTTTTTTTTAAATTCTAATTTAATAAAGGGGGAAGTACTAAGATTTTTATGCATTTCTCTTTGTAACTGTATCTTAGTTCTTAGATACATGGTTAAATATTACCTGCTCTGGTGAGACCCCATCTGGAGCACTGTGCCCAGCTCTGGAGTCCTCAACATCAGAAGGACATGGAGCTGTTGGATGGGGCCAGAGGAGGCCACGGAGATGCTGGGAGGGCTGGAGCCCCTCTGCTGGGAGGGGGGGCTGAGAGAGTTGGGGGGGTTCAGCCTGGAGAAGAGAAGGCTCCGGGGAGACCTTAGAGCCCCTTCCAGTCCCTCAAGGGGCTCCAGGAGAGATGGGGAGGGACTCTGGATCAGGGAGGGGAGCCATAGGAGGAGGGTAAAGGGTTCTAAACTGACAAAGCAGAGATTGAGATGAGATGTGGGGAAGAACTTCTTTGGTGTGAGGGTGGTGAGAGCCTGGCCCAGGTTGCCCAGAGCAGCTGTGGCTGCCCCATCCCTGGAGGGGTTCAAGGCCAGGCTGGATGGGGCTTGGAGCAACCTGGGCTGGTGGGAGGTGTCCCTGCCCAGGGCAGGGGGTGGCACTGGGTGATCTTTAAGGTCCCTTCTAACCCGAACCATTCTGTGATTCTATATTGAACTCTTTGTCTGATCTTGCAAATTGCAGGAGTTCCCAGATTCTTGCTGGCAATTTAGCACTGCTCTTCTCCAGAAATATAGGCTGAGTTTTTCAAATGATACCCGCTTTGGCAATTTTGAGGTAACAGTACCCAACACTGCCATGGGACAGTTCGGGTGCGTGCTCAGCGCTGCTGGAGAGTGTGCTCCTTGGGTGCTATGAGGGGAGCAAATGAAGTTTAGAGACGTGCTGAATCAATATTCACTCCTGGAAAAGGCTTTGTCCTTATTCATGTTGATCAAATGCAGGTTCTTTACAGGGGAAAGCCACACAGTCTGCAGCTATCATTTTTTATGATTTGAAAAATACTCTATGTCATTAATGGATTTAGTGACTTGGTTAATCTGGTGTTTTGTCTGGATTAAATGAAAAACAAGCGTCTCTTTGGGCAATCAGACTGTGCTATCTCTAAATTGGTTTTGAAGCAATTTGTAGTGACAGAGCACTTAATTGTCATCTGCTGCCCCTCAGTGTTATTGGAAGGAGTGAATAACTCTCTGATGAGGCTTTATCTCAGTGGACTCAGCAGTCGCTTCTGCAGTTGTACTTATTCTTGCTTTCACGCACAAACATTAAGCTTCCACTGTTACCTGCCTACATCCACACAACCCTTTATGAACCAGTTCTGTATCTGACAAAAATCAGTCATCTTGGACTCCCTCAGGATACAATACTCACGGGCTGGTTTGCTCAAAGGTTTAGGCTGGTCCTGCATTGCTCACTCCCATCCAACCTGAAAGGCTCTCTGTAGCACAGCCCACAGTTCTGTTTGCATTATGTTTTTCTCATTAAAAAAACCTGCCAAACAATTGTTTTCCAAAACATAAATGTGTTTCTGATTTATGGAAATCTGAAGCTGCTTAGGACACAGAAAAAGAAAAAAACCACACCCCCCAAAACAAACCAACACAAGCATTCCAGCCTTTAAAGGGAACTGAATTAATGCAGAGGGACCTTTAGCTGTGGAAAATGATGCTGAGGGGTTTTTTTAATCCCGCTTTACAGACTTTCTTGTTTTTAAAAAGAAGATTTGTAAAGCTTAGGAATCTCCTTGTCCTCCAGACTGTAATGATGGCCATGATCAAGGCTGGAGTTGTGGACAGAGGGAGGAGAGAAAGGAGAAAGGGAAGGGAATCTGATGTGTCTGCAGGTGCTTCCATCCCGCCAGGTATGGATGGTATCTCTGTGTGTATATATATATGTGTGTATATATATGATATATCCTCCCTACCCTGTCACAGGTGATTTCAGTTTTCAGGTCGTTACCACGGGACGGGCACAGGCTCCACACCTGCTCACAGCTTTTCCTTTCTGTTATCCAGCTCCCTCTGGAAATTCCCACGGCAGCCAAACACGGCGACCTGCAAGTAGGAGCTCCGCCTTTGGTCAGTGTAAATGCAAACATACTTTTGTGTCATCTGGCATTACAT